CTCCTGCTCCCGCTCCTCCGGTACCCCCGCCCCCCCCTGGTCCTTCCCCGTCTGGTGTGTCCCACGTTACCCCTCTACCCTCGGTCGCGCGTCAGGTAGCGTCTCCCTCCCCGCAATCCTCCTCACAGTCCCCTCAGCAGCCTTCGGCACTTCCGCGACAGGTTACTGTGGACTCGGTTGGTGTTGGAGCTGGAGGTGCAGCCACTGGCGGTGCTTGGTCTGGGGGTACTCGGTCGCGGGGTGCTGGAGCTGGAGGTGCTGGCGCAGGTGGCGCTAGCTCTGGGGGTGCTGGAGCTGGAGGTGCTGGCGCAGGTGGCGCTAGCTCTGGGGGTGCTGGAGCTGGAGGTGCTGGCACTGGTGGTGCTAGTTTTGGGGGTGCAGGAGCTGGAGGTGCTGGCACTGGCGGTGCTAGTTCTGGGGGTGCTGGAGTTGGAGGTCCGGGCACTGGAGGTGCTGGTTCTGGGGGTGCTGAGTCTGAGGAGTCTGACCCTGGTTCTGCGGAGTCCACTCCGCCTCCCCACCGCCACGACACACGACTCCAGGCTGCCCGCCGGCGTGAGCGTGAGGAGCAGGAGCGGTTGGAGAGGGAGCGGCAGGAGCTGCGGGTGCTGGACCTTCTGGAGCAGCAGCGGCAGCAGCAGCAGCAGCAGCAGCAGCCGCAGCAGCAGCCGCAGCAGCAGCAGCCGCAGCCGCAGCCGCAGCCCCCGCCGCAGCAGCAGCAGCCGCAGCCGCCACCGCAGCTTCCTCTGGAGCGGCGGTTGTTCCCACCTGTGAGTGGCCTGCGGGCCCTTGGTTTTTCCTCCTCTCCTCCTGTCCGCTCCCAGTCTCCTCCTGTGTTTGTTCCTCCGTTGCCTCCTCTTGACGACCGTCCGGCGGTCTGGTCTTCTCCTCCTCCCCAGTCTCCTCCTCCTTCGGTCCGTCGCGACTTGGCCACTCGTTGTCCTCCGCGTGCTCGTCACTCGTCCCCTGTTACTGACCTCCACACTGCCCTCCTTTGTACGTCTCGTCGTCGTTCTCCTTCTCCTGTGTCCGTTCTCCCGTCTCCTCCTCCGTCCTCTCTCCCAGCCCTCCCCACTCCTATCACTGACTACTACCGCACTGTTCGTCCTGTTGCCGCACGTGTCCTCGCCACTCTTGTCACCGACTCTCGTTTCCCTCCGTCGTCGGTCTCTGCTCTTACTGCCGCTGTCGCCGAGTTTGCTGCCGCCAGCCGCCTTGACTACGCCACCCGTGTGGTGCCAGCTCCTCCCTACCGTCCTCTGTCCGTCGGGGATGGGTTTGCCCTTGGCTGTGACGTCCTAGAGGACAGAGAGTCTGAGCTGGAGTACAGGGCAGCCGCTTCTCCCTCTGTGTGTGCCATGCTGCTCTCCCCTGAGGGAGACCCCGACGCCCTTGACATACCGACTCCTCGCACTTACCGCGAGGCAGTGTCAGGGGCGTGGGCCTCTCAGTGGAAAGCGGCTATGGACTCAGAGTTGGCGTCTTGGAGATCCACAGGCACCTACGTCGACGCAGTTCCCCCTCCCAGGGCGAACGTAGTCGATGGCATGTGGCTCTTCAAGGTGAAGCGGCCGCTTGGAGCACCGCCGGTGTTCAAGGCGCGCTACGTGGCTAGGGGCTTCAGTCAGCGTGAGGGAGTTGACTTCTTCCAGACCTTCGCCCCGACCCCGAAGATGACTACTCTTCGGGTGTTACTCCACATAGCAGCGCAGCGAGACTACGAGCTGCACTCCCTCGACTTCTCCACTGCGTTCCTCCAGGGCCGACTGCACGAGGAGATCTGGCTGCGCCGTCCTCCTGGCTTCACTGACACCTTCCCACCTGGGACCCAGTGGAGCCTGAGGCGACCAGTCTACGGTCTCCGCCAGTCGCCCCGTGAGTGGCACGACACTCTTCGCTCCACGCTTCGTGACCTTGGGTTCAGCCCGTCCTCCGCCGACCCGTCGCTGTTTGTTCGAGCGGGTTCTACTCCTTTCTTTATCCTTGTCTACGTCGACGACTTGGTGTTTGCTACAGCAGACAGGGCAGCCCTGGCTCAGGTGAAGTTCGAACTGCAGAAGAGACACAAGTGCACTGACCTGGGTGAGCTGCAGCGTTACCTTGGCTTGCATATCACCCGGGACAGAGCCGCTCGCACCATCACACTGACGCAGTCACACATGGTGCAGCAGGTCCTTCGGCGGTTCGACTTCCAGTTCTCCACCACACAGCCCACTCCTCTTGCTGTTGACCACAGACTCACTGGCCCCTTTCCCGACGAGCCATTTGAGTCCAGTGGTCCCTACGCAGAGCTGGTGGGCTGCCTCATGTACCTGATGACTTGTACTCGGCCGGACCTCGCCTTTCCCCTCAGCGTCCTCTCTCGCTTTGTTGCGACTGGGAGACACCGTCCTGTCCACTGGACAGCTGCTGTGAGGGTGGCGAAGTACCTGGCGACTACATCAGGCATGGGGCTTGTGCTTGGAGGGACTCAGCCAGTGGCGTTGACTGGTCACTGCGACTCTTCCTACGCTGACGACGTGGAGACTCAGCGTTCGACTCAGGGTTACTGCTTCAGTCTGGGAGCTGGTGCTGTGTCGTGGAGGTCTACACGGTCGTCGTCTGTGGCTACTTCCAGTGCAGAGGCAGAGATCTACGCTGGTGCCATGGCGGCACAGGAGCTTCGTTGGTTGACCTTCTTGCTCGCCGACCTTGGTGAGCGGCCTCGCTCTGCACCGACCTTGTACGCTGACAACAAGGCCATGATCCTCCTGTGTCGAGAGCCTCGACTGGAGAGCAGAGTGAAGCATATTGACGTGAGGTACTTCCTCCTGCGAGAGCTGCAGCGACGCGGCCAGGCACGCCTGGACTTTGTGGCCTCAGAGGCCAACACTGCAGACGTCTTCACAAAGGCCTTGGCGCTTGGTGATCACCACAGGTTCTGTGTGCAGTTGGGGCTTGTTGAGGTAGGCCCTCGGTTGCTGTAGTCTTGTTGTTTGCTCTGCTTGTTGTGCTTCCTATTTATATCCTAGTGAACTCTTGAACTGGCCTTGTGGCCGCTTGCTTGCGCTCGGAATTTGTGTGGTGTCCTTGAGATCCACCCTGAGCTTGCCTTGTTTCTTGCATTGACTGGTCTTGTGACCGTTTGTTCACCTTGCTTGCTTTGATGCCCCTCACTTAGCCTATGGGTGCGTGTCAAATGTAATTCTATGCTTATAGGCTACAGTGAGTAGCACAATAGGGAGTACAGTTGTTAGGGTTGCATATTTGTACTTCCACACTTGCTAGTTTCATCATTCCGTTGTGCTCCATTCTTTAGAATGAGACAGACAGGTGCAAACAGACAAACGCACATATCGCACACACGGGCTCACACGCGCACGTAAACACACGCATAATCACACGCACACTCTGACACACACGCAAACAACCATAGGTAGATACAGAGACCGTAGTCAACACGCAACCGTCATGAATAAAATTCAGAAATGCATAAATAGTTGTTAGCCTATCCCACCTACGCTCTCTACAACCCTCCCTCCCTCCTTCCCTCATCTCCCTTTTCAGCTCACGCGCCCTGCACAAAGCAAAATCAGAGAAGTCAACACGCACTCGCCCTGCACAAAGCAAAATCAGAGAAGTCAACACGCACACGCCCTGCACAAAGCAATATCAGAGAAGTCAACACGCACACGCCCTGCACGAAGCAAAAATGAGAAGTCAACACACACAAGCCCTGCACAAAGCAAAAACAGAGAAGTCAACACACACAAGCCCGGCAGAAAGCAAAAACAGAGAAGTCAACACACACAAGCGCACTCTCACGCGCACTCTCACGCGCACTCTCACGCGCACTCTCACGCGCTCTCTCACGCGCTCTCTCACGCGCTCTCTCACGTGCTCTCTCTCGCGCTCTCTCTCACGCGCTCTCACGCACATTCTCTCTCTCACACGCACTCTCACGCACATTCTCACGCGCTCTCCCACGCGCTCTCTCGCGCGCACTCTCATGCGCACTCTCACGCGCACTCTCACGCGCACTCTCACGCGCACTCTCACGCGCACTCTCACGCGCACTCTCTCACGCGCACTCTCACGTGCACTCTCACGCGCTCTCTCATGCGCTCTCTCATGCGCTCTCTCACGCGCTCTCTCGCGCGCTCTCTCACGCACACTCTCACGCGCTCTCTCACGCGCATTCTCACGCAAACTCTCACATGCACTCTCTCGCGCACTCTCACGCGCACTCTCTCTCACGAGCTCTCTCACGCGCTCTCTCACACGCACACTCACGCTCTCTCACGCGCTCTCTCACGCGCTCTCTCATACGCACCCTCACGAGCTCTCTCACGCGCTCTCACACGCGCTCTCTCACGCGCTCTCTCACGCCCTCTCTCACACACTCTCTCACGCGCTCTTTCACGCGCACTCTCACACGCACTCTCACGCGCTCTCTCACACACACTCTCAGGCACACTCTTACGCGCTCGCTCTCGCGCACTCTCACGCGCATTCTCTCTCTCACGCGCTCTCTCACGCGCTCTCTCACGCGCACTCTCACGCGTACTCTCACGCTCTCTCACGCGCTCTCTCATACGCAACCTCACGTGCTCTCTCTCATGCGCTCTCTCATGCGCTCTCTCATGCGCTCTCTCACGCGCACCCTCACGCGCTCTCTCGCGCGCACTCTCATGCGCACTCTCACGCGCACTCTCACACGCACTCTCACGCGCACTCTCACGCGCACTCTCACGCGCACTCTCACGCGCACTCTCACGCGCACTCTCACGCGCACTCTCACGCGCACTCTCACGCGCACTCTCACGCGCACTCTCACGCGCACTCTCACGCGCACTCTCACGCGCACTCTCACGCGCACTCTCACGCGCACTCTCACGCGCACTCTCACACGCACTCTCACGCGCTCTCTCGCGCATTCTCTCACGCACACTCTCACGCGCACTCTCCCATGCACTCTCTCGCGCAATCTCACGCGCACTCTCTCTCTCACGAGCTCTCTCATGCGCTCTTTCAGGCGCACACTCACGCTCTCTCACGCGCTCTCTCACGCGCTCTCTCATACGCACCCTCACGCGCTCCCTCACGCGCTCTCACACGCGCTCTCTCACGCGCTCTCTCATACGCACCCTCACGCGCTCCCTCACGCGCTCTCACACGCGCTCTCTCACGCGCTCTCTCACGCCCTCTCTCACGCACTCTCTCACGCACACTCTCACGTGCACTCTCACGCGCTCTCTCACGCGCTCTCTCGCGCGCTCTCTCACGCGCACTCTCACGCAAACTCTCACATGCACTCTCTCGCTCACTCTCACGCGCACTCTCTCTCTCACGAGCTCTCTCACGCGCTCTCTCACGCGCTCTCTCATACGCACCCTCACGAGCTCTCTCACGCGCTCTCACACACGCTCTCTCACGCGCTCTCTCACGCCCTCTCTCATGCACTCTCTCACGCGCTCTTTCACGCACACTCTCACGCGCTCTCTCACGCGCACTCTCACGCAAACTCTCACATGCACTCTCTCGCGCACTCTCACGCGCACTCTCTCTCTCACGAGCTCTCTCACGCGCTCTCTCACGCGCACACTCACGCTCTCTCACGCGCTCTCTCACGCGCTCTCTCATACGCACCCTCACGAGCTCTCTCACGCGCTCTCTCACGCCCTCTCTCACGCACTCTCTCACGCGCTCTTTCACGCGCACTCTCACACGCACTCTCACGCGCTCTCTCACACACACTCTCAGGCACACTCTCACGCGCTCGCTCTCGCGCACTCTCACGCGCATTCTCTCTCTCACGCGCTCTCTCACGCGCTCTCTCACGCGCACTCTCACGCGTACTCTCACGCGCTCTTTCATACGCAACCTCACGTGCGCTCTCTCACGCGCTCTCTCATGCGCTCTCTCATGCGCTCTCTCACGCGCACCCTCACGCGCTCTCCCGCGCGCACTCTCATGCGCACTCTCACGCGCACTCTCACACGCACTCTCACGCGCACTCTCACGCGCACTCTCACGCGCACTCTCACGCGCTCTCTCACGCGCACTCTCACGCGCACTCTCACGCGCACTCTCACGCGCTCCCTCACGCGCTCTCTCACGCGCACTCTCACGCGCTCTCTCGCACACTCTCTCGGGCACTCTCTCGCGCGCTCTCTCACGCACACTCTCACGCGCACTCTCACATGCACTCTCTCGCGCACTCTCACGCGCACTCTCTCTCTCTCACGAGCTCTTTCATGCGCTCTCTCACGCGCACACTCACGCTCTCTCACGCGCTCTCACGCGCTCTCTCATACGCACCCTCACGCGCTCCCTCACGCGCTCTCACACGCGCTCTCTCACGCGCTCTCTCACGCCCTCTCTCACGCACTCTCTCACGCGCACTCTCACGCGCTCTCTCACGCACACTCTCACGCGCTCTCCCACACAAACTCTCACATGCACTCTCTCGCGCACTCTTACGCGCACTCTCTCTCTCACGAGCTCTCTCACGCGCTCTCTCACGCGCTCTCTCATACGCACCCTCACGAGCTCTCTCATACGCACCCTCACAAGCTCTCTCACGCGCTCTCTCACGCACTCTCTCACGCACTCTCACACGCACTCTCACGCGCTCTCTCACACACACTCTCAGGCACACTCTCACGCGCTCGCTCTCGCGCACTCTCACGCGCATTCTCTCTCTCACGCGCTCTCTCACGCGCACTCTCACGCGTACTCTCACGCTCTCTCACGCGCTCTCTCATATGCAACCTCACGTGCGCTCTCTCACGCGCTCTCTCATGCGCTCTCTCACGCGCTCTCTCACGCGCACCTCACGCACACCCTCACGTGCTCTCTCACGCGCTCCCTCACGCGCTCTCTCATGCGCTCTCTCACGCGCTCTCACGCGCTCTCTCACGCGCTACCTCACGCACGCGCTCCCCCAGCGCGCTAGGCGCCAGCGCGCTAGGCGCCAGCGCGGTAGGCGTCAGCGCGCATGGCGCCAGCGCGTTAGGCGCCAGCGCGATAGGCACCAGCGCGCATGGCGCCAGCACGTTAGGCGCCAGCGCGCTAGGCGCCAGCGCACTAGTCACGAACCGGCAAAAAGAACTTACGAAAAAAGTAGAGAAAAATATGAAATTTCGGACGGAGTGGAGAGGAAAAAGGTCCGGGAAACGGAAACGCACCTGAGACGACGGTGCCTCACAGAACGCGCGGTCGTGCAGCAACCCGCGCTCGCGCTCGTACACCCACCAGAGGCGACGGGGAAAGGGAGGGAGAGGCGACGGCGAGGAGGAAGGGAGAGCGACGGCGGGGACGGAGGGAAAGGCTATGATGGGGAGGGAGGGAGAGGCGAAGTTGGGGAGTGAGGGAGAGGCGATGGTGGGGAGTGAGGAGAGGCGACGGTGGAGTGAGGAGAGGCGACTGCTGGTAGGGAATCGCGATAGAAGGATGAGCGATGGTTGGGTTGGGAAAAGAACCAGAGAGCAGCGTAGAGCAGGATTCAAGAAACCTATGCAGGGACACCATCCGAAGGAATTTCTATGGTAGGAAAGGAATTTCTTGGGGTTGGTTGGGATTGTGTGGCGCTGGCAAGAAATTCTTCTGCCAAAGAAAAACAAGGCACGAAACGATTTTCACTTTGGGACGATGGGATTACAGTAGATTACGAAACGGCGTACAGTACAGTACAGTTCGAGGACGATGGGACGAATTGCAAGCTACCCGGGCACATGACAATCCGAAAATAAAATAAAAAAAACACACAGACACAAGATTTGGAACGTAGTGTTACGTGACAACACGCGCACAAACACACTGTCCAACTAGCTGACACACAAAGGTTAGCTGCAAATAAACAAACCCACTAAGTTGATATGATAGTGTCATTTGTACATACAAACACCACTGCTAAATATAATAGCAAATATGATAAATGTTGAAATCTTTCCCCATTAATAGCATTCAATGGGAAGAGAGCTAACATGAGGAAGAACAAAGTGAGAAACAACCTGTTATACACTGGATGAAGATTCGTGGCTTTCTCTAAATAAAGTAATATCGAACATTCCTCATGTCTTCTTACGACAAATATATAACTGCGACGCAACCCTTCCGACGTTATCGTCGAGTCTTGTTTAGTTTCTAGACTCTAGCCTGTAGACCCGAACACCTAACGGCTGTGTTTTTTGTCTCCTAACTCCTCACGTGTTCACTAGAACGCGCAATTGGTACCGGAAGAATATTATAGATCCTGCGTGTCCGTAGCGCGGTTCCGATGGCGTCAATGGAGCCGGACGTCTCAGCTCCGGCCGGCATGTTTACCGTCCAGCAGACGCCGTCCACCGTGCTGTGCTGCCTGTGCGGCACGGCCATGCCGCCCAACCCGACCGGCATGTGCCCCGGCTGCATCCGCACGCACGTCGATATCACTGAGGGCCTCCCGCGCCGCCTGTCGGTGCTGCGCTGCCCGCCGCCGTGCGGAAGGTTCCTCGCGCCGCCACGCGCGTGGATCCGCGCTGAGCTCGAGTCGAAGGAGCTCCTCACGTTCTGCCTCAAGGTGCGGCGAATCGAGTCAAATCGAATAAAATCAAGTTGAATCGAATCAAACCGAGTCGAGTCAAGTCTGCGTCCTGCGGATATGGATGGTTTTGCCCAAGAGATTTTCCCCGCGCCTGTATGTGCACCCGCGTTGGGCGCCAGTGGATTTACTAGTGTGAGGAGTTTCTCACTCGCGATACGGGAGCAGTTCCACAGTCCTGTTCTCATCGCTTGCGGCTTTGTTGTTGTTTTGGACTTAAACCCCGTTGTCAAACCCTGATTCGCTCGACTTGGCGCGCTGTCGCCCAATTGGTTACCTACGCTTGTCTATCGCGCGCAGTCGGTATGCAGGGCAATTCGGAATTCGTGGACGCGTTTACCTTCTGAAACCCCTCCAAAACCCTGCGTTGCTCTTTTTGCCCAGTCCTCCTCTGACCGTACGACGGTTTTGCCTGACGCTAGCCTTGTGACAGCGTAAGGAGAATGTTAGCAAGGCGAAACTGGTGGACGCGTCCACTTGCCCAAAGCATCCTCCTTATACCCCTGTGTTCCCGTGCTCTTTCCCTCCCCTCACTGCATGCCATGTGTGTGTGTGTTACCATGCTACCATTTCACTGTAACAGCGCATGAAGAATCTCAACAAAGTGAAGCTGGTGGATGCCTCTTTCATCTGGACAGAGCCACACTCCAAGCGAATTAAAATCAAGGTACTACGTCTGTGTGTTGAATGTAGAGTGCTACTTTTGAGCTTCCTCAAAATTTGCCACTTTCGTCTGGACCGAGCCACACTATAAGCGAATTAAAATCAAGGGAGTTAGAAAGAAGAAGAATAAAAGATTGTGCCGTTTAACCAAGGTACATTTAAAGGAGATGTTCTGCTGCAAACCGCGATGCATGCACGTGATCAGCTGCCAACCCTAATTCAAATCCCCTGGTTTCCACCCCTACTGCTCACAGGTGACCATACAGAAGGAGGTCTTATCTGGCGCCGTTCTTCAACAGACGTTTGTGACAGAGTATGTGGTGGAGGACCACATGTGTGACGCGTGCACGGTGCACACAGTCGGTCGCCTGCCGACCTGAACTGAACTCCAACGCTCACGTGTACTTTGAGATCCCTTTGCTTTCGCGTGTCTCCAGGTGACGATACAGAAGGAGGTGCTATCTGGAGCGGTGCTGCAGCAAACCTTTGTGACGGAGTACGTGGTGGAGGACCATATGTGTGACGCGCGCACGCGGTCAGCTGCCACCTCTAACCCTTAATTTCACCTGTACCTTAAAACCCCTGAACCCTGTTGCTCCCAGGTGACGATACAGAAGGAGGTTCTGTCCGGAGCAGTGCTGCAGCAAACCTTTGTGACGGAGTACGTGGTGGAGGACCATATGTGTGACGCGCGCACGCGGTCAGCTGCCACCTCTAACCCTTAATTTCACCTGTACCTTAAAACCCCTGAACCCTGTTGCTCCCAGGTGACGATACAGAAGGAGGTTCTGTCCGGAGCAGTGCTGCAGCAAACCTTTGTGACGGAGTACGTGGTGGAGGACCATATGTGTGACGCGTGCACGCGGTCAGCTGCCACCTCTAACCCTTAATTTCACCTGTACCTTAAAACCCCTGAACCCTGTTGCTCCCAGGTGACGATACAGAAGGAGGTTCTGTCCGGAGCAGTGCTGCAGCAAACCTTTGTGACGGAGTATGTGGTGGTGGAGTGGACCACATGTGTGACGCGTGCACGCGGTCAGCTGCCAACCCCAACTAGCCAACCCTGGCTTCAAACCCTTTGTTCCTACCCATATTGCTCCCAGGTGACAATACAGAAGGAGGTGCTATCCGGGGCCGTGCTGCAGCAAACATTCGTGACGGGAAACGTGGTGGGGGATCACATGTGTGACGCGTGCACGCGGTCAGCTGCCAACCCTGACCCTGATGTGCCTACAACCTTAGTTAGACCCTGAACCCTCTGCCACACACCCCTGTGATTTCCAGGTGACGATACAGAAGGAAGTTCTCAGTGGCGCAGTGCTGCAGCAAACCTTTGTGACGGAATACGTGGTGGAGGACCACATGTGCGACGCGTGCACGCGGTCGGCAGCCAACCCGGACCAGTGGGTGGCGGTGGTGCAGCTGCGGCAGAAGGCGGAGCACAAGCGCACGTTTCTGTTTTTGGAGCAGCTTATATTGAAGCATGGTGCCGACGCCAACACCATCAACATCCGCCAGGTGGGTGCTTGCTTGCTTGCTGCAAGGTGACTCGTGACTTGTGATTCGAGTCGATAGGCAAAGGGCATCTGGGAAAAAGCAGAAGGCGGAGCACAAGCGCACGTTTCTGTTCCTGGAGCAGCTTATATTGAAGCACGGTGCTCACGCCAACACTATTAACATCCGCCAGGTGGGCTTTCTGACTTTCTCAACACTGTTAACAAGTGGGGCTTTAGGGGCTGTCGAAAGAGAACAGGTGGGCTGCGGAGGCCTTATTTCCATCAACCCTTATTTCCATCAACCCTTATTTCCATCAACCCTTATTTCCATCAACCCTTATTTCCATCAACCCTTATTTCCATCAACCCTTATTTCCATCAACCCTTATTTCCATCAACCCTTATTTCCATCAACCCTTATTTCCATCAACCCTTATTTCCATCCGCCAGGTGGGCGTTCTGACTTTGCCAAGACTGTTAACAGGTGGGGCTTAGGGGAAGGGATATGGACAATTGGAAGTCAGACGACTTTTGAGTCGACGCAAAAGCCTTCTGACTTTGCCTACACAGAAGCCTCCTGACTTTGCCTCAACAGGTGGGTGGGGTTTGAAGAGAAGAAAAAGGGACGATCGGATTGGAAGGTGATGCCCTCATCAGCAAAGGCGGTGCCTGCCAGGTCAGCTGCCAGCTCAGCACCGGCGAGGATTTAGGAGAAGGACGGATGAATGTGGAGAAGGGACGAATCGTCGTAACACTCGCACTGCCATTGGATTCCTTTTAAGACTCGCGCTATGTGTGCTTCTGATTCACTCCTTTCCCTCCTCCTCAGGTGCACGACGGCATTGATTTCTACTACGCCAACAGCTCGCGTAAAGTCAGTATTAGTCAACGCCAGTCAACCCCTACCCTTACCCCTACCTACCCCTTTCCCTCCTCCCAGGTGCACGACGGCATTGATTTCTACTACGCCAGCCGCTCCCACGCGCAGAGTCAACATTAGTCAATAGTAGTCAACGCCCCCCCAACCCCTCTCCCAGGTGCATGACGGCATTGACTTCTACTACGCCAACCACTCCCATGCTCAGAAATTTGTGGATTTCGTGTCGGCCGTGGTGCCAGCTGCTCATGCAAAGTCAGTGTTAGTCAACACCCGCCCCTGATCCGCCCCCTCCCTTCCCAGGTGCATGACGGCATTGACTTTTACTACGCCAACCGCTCGCACGCGCAGAAGTTTGTTGACTTTGTGTCGGCCGTGGTGCCAGCTCAGCACCGCAGCGACAAGCAGCTGGTGTCGCATGACATCCACACGGCCTCGTACAACTACAAGTGAGTGAAGAGAAGACTTAAAACGAGTACAGCTACGAGCGAGTGCTACAGCGAGTGAGTACCACATCGGTTCTTCACGAGTACACGTGGGTATCATAGCAAGTACAAGTGTGAAAGGCTGGTAATGCTAAGTGCGGTGAGCGTGGTGCCAGCTCAGCACCGCAGCGACAAGCAGCTGGTGTCGCATGACATCCACACGGCCTTGTACAATTACAAGTGAGTGCTGCTATAACGAGTACAATGCTATAGTGCAGCAGTGGTGCCAGCTCAGCACCACAGCGACAAGCAGCTGGTGTCACACGACATCCACACGGCCTCGTACAACTATAAGTGAGTACTGCTGAAGGCTTATAACGGGTATAAGTAGAAGTGAGCAGCTGGTGTCACACGACATTCACACGGCTTCGTACAACCACAAGTGAGTACTGCTGAAGGCTTATAACGGGTATAAGAGGACGTGAGTAGCTGGTGCTCACATGACATCCACATGGCTTCTTACAAGTGAGTGAAGAGAAGTCTTATTGGGAGTACAAGTTACAACCACAAGTGAGTGGTGAGAAGGTTTATTGTGAGTACAATTGCAAGTGAGCGGTGAGAACGCTTATAACAAGTATAATTGCAAGCGAGTGTTCAAGCGAGTACAATGGAGCCTTTTAGCGAGTACAATGGAGCCTTTTAGCGAGTACAACAAGCGCCAGTTCTGCCCTCCTCACATGTGTACCTCCCTCCCTTCTCCCCTCTTCTCTTCTCCTCCCCCACGCAGGTACACTTTCTCGGTGGAAATCTGTCCGGTCTGCAAGGAGGACCTGATTTGCCTCCCCCCGAAAGCCGCCAATGCGTGTGGCACGGCGGCGAACCCTCTCGTCCTCTGCATCCGCGTCTCCAACTCGCTTCAGCTCCTTGACCCATCCACCCTGCATGCCATCTACCTTGACTCGAACCAGTACTGGCGCTATGGCTTTAAGCCCCTGCTCTCCTCGCGGCAGCTCGTGGAGTACGTGGTGCTAGACGTTGAGACCGTGGGGGGCGGAGGGGGATGGGGTGGCGGAGGGGGATGGGGGGGCGGAGGCGGAGGGGGAGGCGGAGGGGGAGCAGGGGGAGCGGGGGGAGCGGGGGGAGTGGGGGGAGCTCCGCACAAGGCGGGGGGAGGGGCGTTGGCGCGGTTTGTGCTGGCAGACGTGCAGGTGGCGCGGGTGGCGGATTTCGGGAAGAACGATGCGATGTTCACTGCCAGGACGCACCTGGGTCATTTGTTGAGGCCGGGAGATTATGCCATGGGATACGACCTGCACGGGGCCAACCTCAACAGCGATGATTTGGCCAGGTGAGCTTTCCCCCTCCTCCTCCTGCTGGTGCTGCTGGTGTGGCAGATTTTGGGAAGAATGATGTGATGTTCACTGCCAGGACGCACCTGGGGTACTTGCTTCGGCCAGGGGATTTTTAAAGACTCATCCCGGCTCTTCTCCCCCACTCACGACCACCCTTTTCTCTCCCCCCCCCCCCCCCCCCCCCCCTCTGTTCCCCTCCTCCCGTCCCTTCAGGTACAGCAACAGAGCAAGAGCTACGAGGAGAAGCGCAAGAAGCAGCAGAGCAACTCTTTCCCCGCTCCCCCTTTTCCTTCTCCCCTCTTCCATCCCGGTCCCTCCTCGCTCCCTCCCTCCCTCCCTCCCTCCCGCCCGCCCTTCAGGTACAGCAACAGAGCCACCCTTCCCGACGTGATCCTCGTGCGCAAGAGCTACGAGGAGAAGCGCAAGAAGCGGCGCGGCAAGCCGCGTGCGTGGAAGCTCAAGCAGCTGGACATGGAAGTGGATGGGGGCGCCGCAGAGAGAGGAGCGGAGAGAGGAGAACGAGGAGGAGGAGGTGGTGGGGCGAAGGGACGGATTGATGAAGAGAGGGATGCGGCGGATAAAGAGAGGTTTTTGGAGGAGTTGGAGGAGGATGCTGAGATGCGGTCGTGGATTGCGGTTTACCGCGACCCGACATTTGTGCCTCCTGTGGGAGCAGCGAGAGGAGGGGATGAGATGGTGGATGCTGGGGAGGAAGAGGAGGAGGAGGATGGGGAGGAGGTGCCGGAAATTCCACTGGAGGAGCTGTTATCGGATTTGAGGATTGGTGGAGAGGAGGCGGAGGCGGAGGAGGGGGAGGTGGAGGATGATGAGGATGATGTGATGGAAACATAAGGAGGATGGGGGAGAGGATGGGGGGAATGGAATGGGAAGGATGGGGAGGAGGTGCCTGAGATTCCGCTGGAGGAGCTGCTGTCGGATTTGAGGATTGGTGGGGCGCATGGGGAGGAGGAGGAGGGGGAGGATGATGAGGATGATGTTATGGAAACATGAGGAGGGGGAGGAGGATCCTGATATGCCGTGGTGGACTGACGAGGAGATAGGGCGGCGGATAAAGAGAGGTTCTTGGAGTAGGATGAGGGTGATGTGATGGAGACATGAGGGCTAGTACCAGTAGGGCATCAGTGCTGAAAGTAAACGCTTGAGCATCAGTATCAACAGTGTAAAAATCCGGTGAAACAGTCTTGGGCTGATGTAGAAAATACAGCAGTACTTTGTCTAGTAGCGGCCCTGACGGTTAGGGTTTAGTGCCATGTGCATGCCTGTCTGAGTTCCAGTACTGTTGAATACACAGCGAATCATCAGTGCTAATGTGCAGGGAATGGTATTGTTGTATTTTCCGTGGGAGTGAAATCCAATTGTGTCCCGGCAGTGGCGGGAATTCTAGATGTTTGAGGATTTTCGTCCGACGATCCGGACGGGCGGAAACTCTTATCCATATCCGAAACTCGTCCCAAGAAACTATCACAAGAAACGTGTGTACACCAAAACCCTTTCGCTATTGTTACACAAGGGGTAAACGGGACGAAAATTGGAGATTGTGCTGTTTGGTATCTCGACATGAATCACAATTTCACTGGACAACACCCTGAAGAGTAGCCCTAGCAAGTACATCATCGCATCCTCTGCTTCTTGCTCGGAACAGCATGTGCTGCTGCTGATTGTGCCTTGCTCTTGGAAACACGCTTCTGTGCTGCCGTTCCTTTGTGTGCCGCGCTCATTCGCTTCTCAACCCCCCCCTTTCCCTTGTGCAACGGGGCTTGCACTCTTGCCTGCCTGCCACGGTGCTTCTGCTCCTCCTCTGATTCGCTCTCTTCCTCATCCCCTGTCCCTTCTTCTTCTTCTTCTTCTTCTTCTTCTTCTTCTTCTTCTTCTTCTTCTTCTTCTTCTTCTTCTTCTTCTTCTTCTTCTTCTTCTTCTTCTTCTTCTTCTTCTTCTTCTTCTTCTTCTTCTTCTTCTTCTTCTTCTTCTTCTTCTTCTTCTTCTTCTTCTTCTTCTTCTTCTTCTTCTTCTTCTTCTTCTTCTTCTTCTTCTTCTTCTTCTTCTTCTTCTTCTTCTTGCCTCTTCTCCTGCGTCTTCCTCTCCCTCCAACTCTTCCTCTTCCCCTTCCTCTCCTTCCTCTTCCTCTTCATCTATCTCTTCCTCTGACTCTTCCTCCCCTTCCTCCTCTCCTTCCTCTTCCCCACCTTCCTCCTCTTTCTCGACCTCCTCCCCTTCACTATCCTCCACTTCCTCCACACTCCCCTCTACTTCCCCATTCTCCTCTCCATCCTCCCCTTCCTCCTCTCCTTCCTCCCTCTCCTCTTCCTCATCTTCCCTCTCCTCTTCCTCTCCATCTCCCTTACCCTCCTTCCCCTTCAACCCCTCCTCTCTCTTACTCTCTAGATATCTCCACATCTTCATAGCAGCATCCACCTCGCTATACTCCCCTCCTCCCTTCTGACTCCCATCTCCCTTCCCCTCCTCCCCTCCCCCCCTCTCACCTCTTTCCCTCCTCTCACTCTCCCTCCTCACCTTCTCCTTCAGTACTTCCAATCCAGACGGCCTATCCTGGGCGGAAGCTTTGGCCTGTAGCGTCAGGGCGGCTTTGCCGCCCGTCAGCGCCAGCTCAGCACCCGGCTGTAGCGCCAGGTCAGCATGCACTGCCAGGTCAGCGGTCGGCTGTAGCATGGTGAGGGCGGCGAGAGTGTAGTCGACGAGGTAGGAGCTGCGCAGCACGCGCTCGAGACGCGCCAGGTGGCGCTGCGTGTATGGCTGCAGCCCATCCAAAATCTCCCCGATTCCTGGGATCTGCATGGCGTGGCAGTCGGGGGTTGGTGGGGTAGAAAGGAGTATGGGCAGTGGGGTATGGGCGCGGTGGTATGGGCAGTGGGGTATGGGCGCGGTGGTATGGGCAGTGGGGTATGGGCGCGGTGGTATGGAGCAGCTGTTAGAGATAGGCTGTCAACACTTTGTGTACTCTATTTTATATGGTTTAGGTTATTTGCGGGTTGGGTGTAGATTTGTAATCCCAACCCTATCTGGTTGGGATTCCCTCGTAATCCTGCAAATCTGCCAACTCACCAATTGGAGATTTGCTAGGATTCCCATCCCATCCTTTCCCTAGCTTTGCTCAACCCAACCTTGTTTGTACTTAAGGCCTAGTGCCTTCTTGATCAATCAATCAGTTCAGCTCCAATTCTGTCAGCAGCCGTTAATCCGAGAGGCAGAGCTTGGAGTCAATGCTCCACTCGCGCGCATATAGCAGCAGCTGCCTCTGCGCCTGTCCCCCAATCCCCTCTCAACCCAATCCCCATGCCACGCCCCTCCCCAGCGCCCTACCTGCATGAGCGTTGCTGGGGGGTGGTGCTTCAACACTGCAGCCAGCAGGCAATGAGCCGAGAGGCACAGCTTGGCGTTGGTGTTCCACTCGCGCGCATACAGCAGCAGATGCCGCTGCTGTTCCTTCTATTCATTCAGTCTTACCCAGTCCCCTACCTGCATAAGCGTTGCTGGAGGGTGGTGCTTCAACACTGCAGCCAGCAAGCGTTGCGCCGAGAGGCACAGCTTGGCGTTGGTGTTCCACTCGCGCGCATACAGCAGCAGATGCCGCTGCTGTTCCTTCTATTCATTCAGTCTTACCCAGTCCCCTACCTGCATAAGCGTTGCTGGAGGGTGGTGCTTCAACACTGCAGCCAGCAAGCGTTGAGCCGAGAGGCACAGCTTGGCGTTGGTGTTCCACTCGCGCGCATACAGCAGCAGATGCCGCTGCTGTTCCTTCTATTCATTCAGTCTTACCCAGTCCCCTACCTGCATAAGCGTTGCTGGAGGGTGGTGCTTCAACACTGCAGCCAGCAAGCGTTGCGCCGAGAGGCACAGCTTGGCGTTGGTGTTCCACTCGCGCGCATACAGCAGCAGATGCCGCTGCTGTTCCTTCTATTCATTCAGTCTTACCCAGTCCCCTACCTGCATAAGCGTTGCTGGAGGGTGGTGCTTCAACACTGCAGCCAGCAAGCGTTGCGCCGAGAGGCACAGCTTGGCGTTGGTGTTCCACTCGCGCGCATACAGCAGCAGATGCCGCTGCTGTTCCTTCTATTCATTCAGTCTTACCCAGTCCCCTACCTGCATAAGCGTTGCTGGAGGGTGGTGCTTCAACACTGCAGCCAGCAAGCGTTGCGCCGAGAGGCACAGCTTGGCGTTGGTGTTCCACTCGCGCGCATACAGCAGCAGATGCCGCTGCTGTTCCTTCTATTCATTCAGTCTTACCCAGTCCCCTACCTGCATAAGCGTTGCTGGAGGGTGGTGCTTCAACACTGCAGCCAGCAAGCGTTGCGCCGAGAGGCACAGCTTGGCGTTGGTGTTCCACTCGCGCGCATACAGCAGCAGATGCCGCTGCTGTTCCTTCTATTCATTCAGTCTTACCCAGTCCCCTACCTGCATAAGCGTTGCTGGAGGGTGGTGCTTCAACACTGCAGCCAGCAAGCGTTGCGCCGAGAGGCACAGCTTGGCGTTGGTGTTCCACTCGCGCGCATACAGCAGCAGATGCCGCTGCTGTTCCTTCTATTCATTCAGTCTTACCCAGTCCCCTACCTGCATAAGCGTTGCTGGAGGGTGGTGCTTCAACACTGCAGCCAGCAAGCGTTGCGCCGAGAGGCACAGCTTGGCGTTGGTGTTCCACTCGCGCGCATACAGCAGCAGATGCCGCTGCTGTTCCTTCTATTCATTCAGTCTTACCCAGTCCCCTACCTGCATAAGCGTTGCTGGAGGGTGGTGCTTCAACACTGCAGCCAGCAAGCGTTGCGCCGAGAGGCACAGCTTGGCGTTGGTGTTCCACTCGCGCGCATACAGCAGCAGATGCCGCTGCTGTTCCTTCTATTCATTCAGTCTTACCCAGTCCCCTACCTGCATAAGCGTTGCTGGAGGGTGGTGCTTCAACACTGCAGCCAGCAAGCGTTGCGCCGAGAGGCACAGCTTGGCGTTGGTGTTCCACTCGCGCGCATACAGCAGCAGATGCCGCTGCTGTTCCTTCTATTCATTCAGTCTTACCCAGTCCCCTACCTGCATAAGCGTTGCTGGAGGGTGGTGCTTCAACACTGCAGCCAGCAAGCGTTGCGCCGAGAGGCACAGCTTGGCGTTGGTGTTCCACTCGCGCGCATACAGCAGCAGATGCCGCTGCTGTTCCTTCTATTCATTCAGTCTTACCCAGTCCCCTACCTGCATAAGCGTTGCTGGAGGGTGGTGCTTCAACACTGCAGCCAGCAAGCGTTGCGCCGAGAGGCACAGCTTGGCGTTGGTGTTCCACTCGCGCGTATACAGCAGCAGCTGCCTCAGCTGCGAGGGTTCCAACCCTGCCACCGCCCCTCCTATCCTCTCCTCTGCCCCCTCCTTCCTGCCATGGGGAGAGAGAGAGGGGAGAGGGGAATAGAAGAGGGGGAGGCAGGCAGTGGGAATAGAAAGAGAGGGGTAAGGGTCACATGAGGGGGGGTTTTCAGAAGGTCACATCAGAGGGTGTTTCCACTCACTTCACCCACGAGCTATGGACTCACTTGATAAGGTCGGACAGAAGGGCTGTGTGTAATGAGGTTATTTTTGAGACGTCTCAGAAATAACCTCATTACACGTGACTTGATAAGGTCGGACAGAAGGGCTGTGTGTAATGAGGTTATTTTTGAGACGTCTCAGAAATAACCTCATTACACGTGACTTGATAAGGTCGGACAGAAGGGCTGCCATGCCATGCCATGCCATGGTGGCAGGTTGCTGCAGCAGCTGCAGCAATGGCTCTTGAGTCCACCCAAACGCCAACCCATACACACTGAGCTACGAACCCACCCATTCACCTCCCTCCACCTGTGAGCAACGAACAGACTCATTTGATATGGTAAAAGAGCAGTGCTGAGCTGCCATGCTGGCAGGTCGCTGCAGCTGCAGCAGTGGCTCTAGTCGACCCCACCATCAACCACGTGTTTGAAGAAGTGTTTTGAGACGTCTCAAAACACTTCTTCAAGCAGTGGCTCTAGTCGACCCCACCATCAACCCACACACACACTGGGGAGTGGGGAAGCAGCGGACTCACTTCATGAGGTCAGAGAGCAGGGCGGCCATGGTGGCGGGTCGCTGCAGCTGCAGTGTGGCGTGCACGCGCGCGCACACACACAGAGTCACCCGTACAGGGCAGCAAACTCACTTCATGAGGTCGGAGAGCAGGGCGGCCATGGTGGCGGGTCGCTGCAGCTGCAGCGCCAGCTGTAGCGCCGTCACATAGTCCTCCGCTACAGCCGCGTTTCGCATCGCCTGCTCCTGCTGTACCGCTTTGACCTGCACAGTTGAAAAGGGTCATGCGGAAAGATGGCGGGTGGGGATACAGAGACTGATGTCACATAGTCCTCTGCTACAGCTGCGTTGCGCATCGCCTGCTCCTGCTGTACTGCTTTCACCTGTGGGGGGGGAGGAGAGCGGTACGATGGGGGGGTGGTGGAAGGTTAAGTGGGAGGCACATAGTCCTCCGCTACAGCCGCATTGCGCATCGCCTGCTCCTGCTGCACTGCCTTGACCTGTGTGGGGCGGGAGGGTAAAGAGAGTGATTAATACAGCCACATTCTGCTGCACCAGCTGTAGCGCCGTCACATAGTCCTCCGCTACAGCCGCGTTGCGCATCGCCTGCTCCTGCTGCACTGTTTTCACCTGGTAGCCGTTGGGGTTGGAGGCGAGGAAGGTTAAGAGGGGGAGCAGAGAGTGTTGCTGGCTACAGCCGCGTTTCGCATCGCCTGCTCCTGCTGCACTGTTTTGACCTGTGAGGGGAGGGAGGAGGTGGGGGAAGGGAGGGAGGAGGAGGATGGGGAAGGGAGAGAGTGAGGCTTGGGGACGGGCGGGGGTGCAGAGGGCCCTGCTGTTGGCTACAGCTGTGCATCGCCTGCTCCTGCTGCTCTATAACGAGTACATAGTGTACCGCGTCACACCCCTCACCTGCTCCAGGGCGGCCTCTTGCTGCTCCTGCTGCGTGCAGTCCTGCCACACGTGCACCAATGAGTCGCTGCCACCTGTCGCCAGCATCTCTGACCCGGGGCTCACTGCCAGCGCCCATATCTGTCTCACAACAGAGAGACGAGTAAGGGGGGGGGGTAGATAAAGGGGAAATGAGACGCGCGAAATGTTTACCAGACGTATGGCATTGGGGGAAGAGGGGAGGGGGGATCGGAGAAGGTGGAAGATGGAAGGGGTACGGTATGGCAATTTTGCGATGTGATGCAGTGGGATGCGGCAACTTTCCTTTCCAAGACCACCCTGCCCCCAACCCCGAATCTGTTTGGAGAAACCCAAAAAAAAAAAAAAAAAAAAAAAAAAAAAAAAACCTTCCCGCCACCCCTTTTCCCCTCCTCTCCACCATCCCACCTTATCCTCATGCTCGTCAAACGTGTTCACACAGACTTTTGAACACAGCGTGGACACTCAAAAGTCTCCTCATGCTTGTGGAACATGTTCACACAGACTTTTGAGTCCTCATGCTCAAAACGTGTTCCACCTAGTCTCACCTTATCCTCATGCTCGTGGAACGTGTTCACTCACTCCCCGCCCTTCACACTCCACAGCTTCCTCCCCTCCTCGTTCGGCTCTCCTCTCCCCCACGCTTATTGCAACACCAACACTCCTTCCCTGCCCCCCCCTAGTCTCACCTTATCCTCATGCTCGTCAAACGTGTTCACACACTCCCCGCCCTTCACACTCCACAGCTTCAGCAGCCCATCCGCTCCTGTTGACACCACCTGGGGGTAAGCGAGAAGGAGGGAGGGGGAGGGGACGAAGTGAGAAGAGCAGGGAGAGTGGGGGAGTGTGACAGCTTCAGCAGCCCATCCGCTCCTGTTGACACCACCTGGAGAGCCGAGAAGGAGAGAGGGGGAACGGAACGAGCAAGGGGGGCAGAAGAGGGTGAGAGAGAGGGAGGAGGGGGAGCTTCAGTTCAGCAGCTTGTCGGCTCCTGAAACTTGATGCTGTGAGGTGAGCACACAGACAGACACAATGCAGCACGGCACAGCACAGATAACAAATGTCTGTGGGCCTACCTGCGTGCTTCGGGTTACAATACAAATGCCGCTTTCAGCACCCTCGCCTCGTGGCCTTGAAGGGTGCGCAGGGCAGGCAGCTGCATGTGCCAGCACCCTTTTGCAGCACATGGCATCACCCAATGCCATCACATGTGGCACAAACACCCAATGCCGCACACCACAGTCAAGCCAACCCAGGCCCTTTTTTTAGGCGCCTTTAAAATAAATGTCGTGAGCACACAGACCCAATGTGGCACACCACACACAGACAAGACAATACACAGCACACACCCGTCCCGTGTGTGTGCCTCGAGTCACAAAGATAGCCTTGAGCATCGATGCCACGTGCCCTTGAAGGAGGTGTCTTTTGAGTCGACTCAAAAGTCACCTCGAGTCACAAAGATGACTTTGAGCCCTTGAAGAGCATCGATGCCTTGTGCCCTTGAAGGGCATCGATGCCTTGTGCCCTTGAAGGGCAGTCAGTCACGCAGCTGCCATCTGCCAGCGCCCAGAAGCGGCACGTGGCACGGTGGTGTGAGCACACACCATGCTGTGAGCACACACACACCCACCCAATGCAGCACACAACAAAAGGGCTTACCTGCGTGCCTCGGGTCACAAAGATGGCCCTGAGGAGAACTGGTGCCTCGTGCCCTTGAAGGGTTCTCAAGCAGCTGCCGTCTGCCAGCGCCCAGATGCGGCACGTGGCATCCCCCGATGCTGTGAGCACACACACAGAGCTAATGCAGCAGACATACCACCACAGCACACCACAGAACACCCAGGGCCTACCCTACCTGCGAGCCTCTCGTCACAAATATCGCTTTCAGCACCGACGCCTCGTGCCCCTGCAGTGTGCTGTGCGCAGGCAGGCAGCTGACGTCTGCCAGAGCCCAGATGCGGCACGTGGCGTCCCCCGATGCTGTGAGCACACACACACCCAATGTGCCACACCACAGTTGACCCAGGGCCTACCTGTGTGCCTCTGGTGACAAAGATGGCCTTGAGAACCGATGCCTCGTGCCCTTGAAGGGTTCTTCTCAGACAGCTGCCGTCTGCCAGCGCCCAGATGCGACACGTGGCCTCCCCCGATACAGTGAGCACACACACCCAATGTGCCACAGCACAGTTGACCCAGGGCCTAACTGTGTGCCTCTGGTGACAAAGATGGCCTTGAGAACTGATGCCTCATGCCCCTGAAGGGTTCTCAAGCAGCTGCCGTCTGCCAGCGCCCAGATGCGGCACGTGGCGTCCCCCGATGCCGTGAGCACACAGACTGACTTAATGCAGCATACACCACACATCACACATCACACACAACACGCAGCACACAACACAGGGCCTACCTACCTGCGTGCCTCTGGTAACGATTATCGCCTTCAGCACGCTTGCCTCGTGCGTGCCCTTGCAGCGTGCGCAAGCCAAGCAGCTGCCGTCCGCCAGCGCCCAGATGCGGCGTCGCGTCGCCTGACGCCGTGAGCACACACGCACATACTAAATGCAGCACACAAACCGCCACAGCAATTTTTGAGGCGCCTCAATAACCGGCACGTGGCGTCGCCTGACGCCATGAGCACACACACACACACATACTAAATGCAGCACACAGACCGCCACAGCACAAACACAGCACACACCTGGGTGCCTCGGGTGACAAAGATGGCTTTCAGTACCGATGCCTCGTGCCCTTGAAGCGTGCGCAAGCAGCTGCCATCCGCCAGCGCCCAGATGCGGCACGTGGCATCACCAGATGCCATGAGCACACAGTGCCAATGCGGCACACCACAGTTAACCCAGGGCCTACCTGCGTGCCTCGGGTGACAAAGATGGCCTTGAGAACCGATGCCTCGTGCCCTTGAAGGGTTCTCAGGCAGCTGCCGTCTGCCAGCGCCCAGATGCGACACGTGGCATCACTTGATGCTGTGAGCACACAGCAGTCCACAGGAGCACACCACACACAACCCAGGCCCTACCTGCGTGCCTCTGGTAACAAATATCGCCTTCAGCACCGACGCCTCGTGCCCCTGAAGGGTTCGAAGGCAGCTGCCGTCTGCCAGCGCCCAGATGCGGCACGTGGCATCGCCTGACGCCGTGAGCACACAGCGGTCCACGGGGGAGAAGGCGACTGACCACACACCACGCTTGTGGCCTCTCAGTGTCACAGAAAGGGACAAATCAGGCAGGCGCCACACCTTGGCCGTGCGATCCTGTAGTGGGAAAAGAGCAAGGGGGGAAACAGAAGGAACATCGACTGATGCCGTGAGCACACAGAGGTCCACGGGAGAGAAGGCGACCGACCACACGCCGCGCTTGTGGCCTCTCAGTGTGACCGAGAGGGACAAATCAGGCAGGCGCCACACCTTGGCCGTGCGATCCTGTTTGGGGAAGAATGGGAGGAGGAGGAAGGGGAGCAGAATCAAGGGCGTTTGTTCCTCACTTTCAAGGGTCCAGGTGAGTGGACTGAGAAGGCACGTGGCGTCCCCAGATGCTGTGAGCACACAGCGGTTCACAGGGGAGAAGGCGACAGACCACACACCGCGCTTGTGGCCTCTCAGTGTGACCGAGAGCGAGAGGTCAGGGAGACGCCACACCTTGGCCGTGCGGTCCTGTCGGGGGGGGGGGGGGGGGGGGGGGGGGTGGAGTAGGAGAGGAGGGATGGAAGCAGGAAGAAGGGTGTTTGTTCCTGGCTGTCAAGGGCTGGCTGTGAGCTCTTGATTGACTGAGAGGAAGGCACGTGGCGCCACCAGATGCTGTGAGCACACAGCGGTCCACAGGGGAGAAGGCGACTGACCACACACTGCGCTTGTGGCCTCTCGGTGTGACGGAGAGCGAGAGGTCGGGGAGACGCCACACCTTGGCCGTGCGGTCTTGTTGTGACAAGGGAAAAGGTGGAGGGGAGCAAGGGGGAGGGGCGAGGAGGAGGAAAACACATTTCACCCACCTGATAATCACCTGAGACCCCCCTCGAAAATCACCGGAGGCCCACCCAACATCACCTGAGAACCACCTGAGACCCACCTGACCATCACCTGAGACATACTTGGGAGCCGGAGCACACGAGAGCATCGTTGGGCGCCACAACCACGCGTTGATGTCCTTGTCGTGTGCTGCTGCTGTGGCACCTGACTTGCCTTGACTTGCCTTGACTTGACTTGTGTAAGTGACCCTCATTTACCTGGGAGCCGGAGCACACGAGGCCATGATTGGGCGCCACAGCTACAGCATTGATATGCTTGTTGTGTGCTGCCACTGTGGCACCTAACTTGACTTGACTTGACTTAACTTGACTTAAAACGCTCAGATGATTTACCTGGGAGCCGGAGCACACAAGGCCATCATTAGGAGCCACAGCTACAGCGTTAATGTCCTTGTCGTGTGCTGCCACTGTTGCACCTGACTTGAGACGAAGCACGCCGCCCCTCCCGCGAGGCAGTGCTGCTGCTGAGGAGGAGAGGAGGAGCGCGAGCGGCCAGACTTTGAGTGTGCGATCACTGAGAGGGAGAGGGATGGGCGAGGAAGCGGGGGGGGGCTTGAATTTGAGATGGCTCAAAACGCGAGGCAGCGTCAATGCTGCTGAGGAGGAGAGGAGGAGGGCCAGCGGCCAGACTTTGAGCGTGCGATCACTGGGAAGGGGGAGGGGAAAGGGAGAGACGGGGAAGGTGCAAGAGAGGGATGACAGGCTACAGACTTGAGAAAGGCAGTGGTGGTGCTGACGAGGAGAGGAGGAGGGCCAGCGGCCAGACTTCGAGCGTGCGATTACTGGGTTGGAGAGGGCGATGGGAGTGTGGGAAGCAGTTCTGAGGCGAGGCAGTTTTGACACATGTTATGTTCACCCTTCAAACATGTTTCACCGTTTACACACAATACACTGTTCAGCCCACACATGCACGTACGTACGTACCTCATAAAAACCGCGAGACAGGAGACGGCTTTTGAGGCGCATCAAAAGCCGTTTACACACAATACACTGTTCAGCCCACACATGCACATATACGTACGTACCTAGATTTGAGACGTTTCAAAACCCGTTGACACACATTACACTGTTCAGCTCTCACTTGCACGTACGTACCTCGAACCAGATACCAAGAAGGGCCCTGCCCCTCCTCCGTTTACACACATTACACCATTCAGCTCACACACTACACTGTTCAGCCCACACACGCACGGTTCAGCTCTCACACTCACGGAATAGCTCTCACACTACACAAATGCACGTACATACCTCGAACCAGATACCAAAAAGGGCCCTGCCCCTCCCCCTTTCCCTCCTGTTGGCTGATCTGGCGGCGGCCTCTGAGAGAACGCCACGGCAGCAACAGCTGCCACGTGTCCTGACCCCATTGCTAGACAGGTGCCGGTGGTGACGTCCCACACCCGCACCTGATTGGCCAGGAATGGCGGCAAGAAATGGTGGGCAAGGGATGGGTGGGACGGGATGGGGGGGAAGGGATGGGTGGGATGGGAAGGAAGGGCGGGAAGGGATGGGTGGGATGAAGAAGGCAGGTGGGGGGGAGGGTAAGCAGGAGAAGGGAGGATAAATGGGAAGACATGTGGCATGCGACCTTACGTTTCTACTTGTATGACAGCAAGAACGCACAGCGAGGGTACTAAGGGGACGGGAGGAGGGGCAAGGGGGGTATGGCGGAGGTGGTATGGGAAAGGGAAGGGTGGGCGGGGAGGGGGGAGGGGGTGGGAAAATGAGGCAGGGCATGGGAAGGGTGCGAGGAGGGGAGTGGGGTGGGGGATGGGCGAGGGGTTGAGCGAGTTGCTTACAGAGTGATCTTTGGCAGACGAGGCGAGCAGAGTATGTGGAAGGGTTAGAAGGCGGGGAGTGGGCTGGGGGAGGGGTGAGGGGTTGAGCGAGTTGCTTACAGAGTGATCTTTGGCAGACGAGGCGAGCAGAGAAACCGGAACCAAATCAGAAGAACCGCTGCCGCCGCTACCATCGCCACCAGCACTAGCAGCACCAGCAGCAGCAGCAGCAGCAACAGCAGGAGGGCCAAGAAGGGCACGAGGCACGGAGCAGGGGTGGGGGTACGCGTCGATACACAGCACGATATCCGAGTGGCCAATCAGGGAGCGGCGACAGCTGGCGGTCGCCACGTCGTACACGCGCACTTGCTCGCTATTGGTCGCCACCGCCAGCTGGAGATTCCTCTCCACCCCTCTCAACGCCTTCCTTATCCCCTCCCCTCCGTCCTCCCCCTCCTCTCCTTCCTCCCCCTCCTCTCCCTCCCTTCCCCCACCTGCTCTCTCAGTCTCTTCCTCCTCATCTGCCTCTCCCAGTGCCTTAAGAGAAGAGGAAGGATCAAGGACGAATCGCACGTCCACGATCTCGTCGTTCTGCCCAATCAGCTGCTGACACGTGGCAAGAAACTGCTGCTGCTGCTGCTGCTGCTGCTGCTGCTTCGTTACAGTCACGTTGACAGGCTGGTATATTAACAGCCGTTGATCTGCAGTGGTACACAATAATCTGCATCCTCCCTTTCCTCCTCCATCCAGGCCCAAAAACTGTGCAGACAAAAACCCGCCGCCAGCTGGCGCCTCATCATTGGCCTCCGCGCCCGTTTTCTGCTGCCCGCCGGCCACCTCAGCTGCCCGTTGCTCCAGGACCGCCGTTGACTTGTCTGACCGCCACAACCGCATCACACACCTCTCTCCCACACTCACAAACCACACCACCTCTTTCTCCCCCATCTCCTCCCTACTCTTCTTCCCCTTCTCCCCCTTCCTCCCCTTCTCTCCCTTCTCCCCTTTCCCCCCCCCTGCTTCCCCCCCAGCAGCAGCGGCAGCAGCAGTGGGGGGAATGGCAGGAAATTCTGGGGCTATAGGGGGTGTGACTATAGCGAGGCCTTCGAGGGACTCAAAAACGGGGATGGTGGTGACGTGGGCATAGGTGCGAATATCCCATATGTTTACCACCTGATGAAAGAAGAGGGGGGGGAAGGGGCGCACCAAGGGGACGGGGGGGTGAAAACGAAGACAGGAGGGAAAAAGGGTTTTGAGACGTCTCAAAACTCAAAACCCTTCTTCATACACAAGGGTTTTGAGACGTCTCAAAACGCTTCTTCATACAAGGGGAGCACGAAGGGGACAGGGGGGTGTAAACGGAGACGAGAGGGAAAAAATGGAGTCGAGAGGATTTCTGAGTCGACTAAAAAAAAAAGGGGGGGTGGGGTGGCAGAGGATGAGAAGCGTCTGTTGAGGCGCCTTTTGGAGCACCTCAGAAATCGTCTCGGTTTTGAGGCGCCTCAAAACGGGGAGGGGTGGCAGTGGATTAGAAGCGTCCACCCAATCAGCGGATGAGAAGGGGAGGAGTGGCAGAGGATGAGAAGCGTCAGCTCCTCCCCCACAGTCAGCCCAATAAAGAGCTTCACAATAATAGCCTGATAGGCATGTACAGGTAGAGGGACATATAAATACGACTTTTGAGGCGCCTCAAAAGTCGTCACAGTGATAGGCTGATTGGCATGCATGCACAGAGGTAGAGGGACATAGAGGAACCCACAGGAATCCAATCAAATTCGATCCCTCCCCTCCGCTCCACGCACCTTGTCACGACTGGCGGTGAGCAGCAGCCGGCCAGAGGGCGAGAATGCGATGGCAGTGACTGTGGAGAAATGCTTCGCTTGTCCAGAGAGGTGAGGCTAGAGGGAAAGGGGTTGGTTGGTTGCTTGCTTGACTTGACTGACCTTATCAAGTGATGCAGTGAGCAGCAGCCGGCCCGAGGGCGAGAAGGAGATAGCAGTGACTATGGAGAGTGCTTGTTTAGAGAGGTGAGGCTAGTGGGGGGAGGCGAGGCTAGGAGGGGGAGTGGGGGGATAATGATTGGCTGACCTTATCACGGGAAGCAGTGAGCAGCAGCCATCCAGAGGGCAAGAAGGCGATGGGAGGTGACTGTAGAGAAGTGCTTGTGCAGTGAGGCGATGCTGGGAGAAAAGGTGTTGGCTGGTTGACTGACCTTGTCACGACTAGCAGTGAGCAGCAGCCATCCCGACGGTGAGAAGGCGATAGCAGTGACTGTGGAGAAATGCTTATCCAGAGAGGCTGCTGGGCGCTTGGTCACCAGGTCCCACACCCGCACCAGCCCGCTCTCTGACGCGCCCACAAGCTGATAGGGAGTGAGAGAGAAGGGGGGGTGTTGAGAGGGTGGTGAATGGATTGTGGGGAGCATGAAGAGGCTGCTGGGCGCTTGGTCACCAGATCCCACTAGCCGGCTCTCCGATGCGCCCACCAGTTGTTGGGGGAAGAGGGGGGGAGGGCGGAGAGGAGGTGGGATGGAAGGAGAGAGATTGTGAAACGAGTTTTGAGGCGCCCCTAAACCCGTTCCTTAAAAAAAAACGCATGACAAGCTTTGGAGAATTCTCAGAAGCAACAAACTGAAGCATTCACCCAAGAAGTGTCCGCCCCGCAGCACTCACCAAGAGGTGTCCGCCCCCCCACAGCACTCACCAAGAGGTGTCCGCCCCACAGCACCAAGAGCTTCAGTTTGTTGCTTCTGAGAATTCTCAAAAGCTTGTCACCAAGAGCTGATTGGGGTCGGGGTGAAAGGCCATTTGCGACAGAACACCTCCCATGCCCGTGAATGAGTGCGTGCATGCATGCCCCTCCAGGTCCCACACGCGCACGCCCCCCCTTGTCTGCCTGCCTGCCCATCTGCGTGTGTGCTTTCATGCGGCGGCTACCACACACCCACCTGGGGATGTCGACTTGATACTCACCAGCAGCTGGTTCGGGTCGGGATGGAAGGCCACTTGCGACAGCACCCCCCCCATGCCCGTGAACGAGTGCGTGCATGCATTCGCCTCCAGGTCCCACACGCGCACGCCCCTGTCCGTCCCCCTTGTCCGTCTGCCTGTTTACCCGTTCACCCACAGGTGCATGCACACGCCCCTGTCCGCACCCCCCCCTCCGCCTGCCTGCCTGCCGCCTGTCTGCTTTTATCTGGCTGCAACGCACTCACCAGCAGCTGATTCGGGTCGGGGTGAAATGCCACTTGCGACAGCACCCCCCCCATGCCAGTGAACGAGTGCGTGCATGCGTTGGCCTCCAGGTCCCACACGCGCACGCCCCTGTCCGCCCCGCCTGTTGCCAGCAGCCCCCCGCTCGCATCCACTGCTAGGCACGACACTGGCGCGGGGTGCGCCTGGGAGGAAATAGGGAGGGAGGGGGAATGGGGAAGGGAGTTGGAAGAGAGAGAGGGAGCAAGGGAGCAAGGAAAGGAGGGGAAACGAGGATTAGCCTATGGGTGGTGGTCCCACACGCGCACGCCCCTGTCCGCCCCCCCTGTCGCCAGCAGCCCCGACACTGGCGTCCACCGCCAGACATGACACTGGCGCGGGGTGTGCCTGGGGAAGAAATTGGAGGCGGGCGTGTGGCAAGGGGGGAGGGGAGGGGGGGGGGGGGTGAGGAGGTCAGAGGGAGGGGGTAAAAAAAATAAAAATAAAATCGAAAGGTTGTGAAGGGTTAGGAAGGGTTCGGAAGGGTTCGGAAGAAAAGGGAAGGAAGACCAGCCTGCGCGGCCATTCCATGCCTCAACTTCCGCGACCGCTCGCACTCTCCCGCGCGCTGCTTCTCCTCCCTCCCCCCTTTTCCTTTTCCCCTTCCACTTCCCCTCTTCCCCTCCCACCCCCACCAATCTTTCCCCTCCGCCTCATCGTCCACGACCGCTTGCACTCCCCTGAACGCCGCCTGCTTCTCCCCCCTATCCTCAGCCCTTCCCCTCATCCCTCCGCCCATTCCCTTCCCTCCACCTTCCGCCCTCTCCCCTCTTACGACCCCTCCCTCCACTACCGCTTGCACTCCCCCGTCCGTGCGCCGCCTCTTCCCCTTCGCCCCCTCCCTTCGCATTTCCCCTTCTCCCTTCCGCCCCCTTTCCCCCCAAAACATCCCCCCCCCTCCCTCCACGACCGTTTGCGCTCCCCTGTGCGCAGCCTCTCCCCCTCCCCCTCCACCTTCCGCCTTCTCTCCCCCCCCCCTCTCGGCCCTTATCCTCCCGCCTTCCCCTCCCCTCCAAACCCCTGCCCCCTCATTTTCCACGACCGCTTGCACTCCCCCGTGCGCCAGTTCCACCAGCGCGTCTGCAGGCTGCGCTGCCTCTCCCCCGTCCCCCATTCCCCCGTTCCCCATCCCCCATTCCCCCGCCCGCCATTCTGCCTCCCATCCCCCATTCCCCGTTCCCCCACCCCCATCACCTTCCACGACCGCTTGCACTCCCGTGCGCCGCCTCTTCCCCTCTCCCCCCCTTTCTCCCCGCCTTTCCTCCCCCACTCCACTCCCCCCAATTCCCCCCACCCCCCTCACCTTCCACGACCGCTTGCACTCCCCCGTGCGCCAGTTCCACCAGCGCGTCTGCAGGCTGCGCGAGCTGGCCAATACGGACACGCCATCTGGACTCGCGGCGACGGCTGTGATTGGCTCTCCGTCGCCCTCCAACGTCCGCACGACCTTCCCCGTGGTGAGATCGACGATCTTTACCGTGTCAGCGCAAGGACATGCCACGTGGCGGCCATCCGGAAAGACTGACACGTGGCCGCCTGTGTAGAAAACCTCGAGGCTTAGCAGCGGCTTGTAGGTTTTTTTCGGGACGAGGCGCGTTAGCTGCTGATGCTTCTGGGATTGCCCGCCTGCGGATTGCGATGCGGAGTGGTGTGATGACGTGGCGCCCTCTAGTCGGGGCGTCATGGCGAACGAATGCTCGAATTAAGAAGCTGCCGGCAATCACGGCAGGAACGGACGACGGAACGGCGAGATCGCGCAACAGTTGACGAATCGACGGCTTGATTTCTGGTGTGGGAAACACAGCATGTTTCGACCAACTGGTTTGCTAGTGTTTCAACAAACTGACTTAGCCTAAACCCTGAGCTCCCCAGAACCCAAAAACAACGGCTTAGCAAAGGGAAATTCGCAAAAACTGTTTGCCCCATCAATCCCAGGGTTGCCTGTGATTCTAGTTGGCACAAACCTGCTTAGAGGAGGCCTGTCATCCTCGATACAGTCTGATTGGGAGTATTAACAGCACTTGCTCGCGTTCATCATTGGGACGTATTTCCAGCTGGCAGAATTTTGACAAATCACAAATTTGACAAATATATCTCCCACACAGTACTCTATAGGAAAATGTCAGAATAGCTGTGCATGCACTCTCCCTCAGTATGCTTGTATCAGGACAATTTATTTCAACATTATTGGGAAATCCTTTCATTATTGGCATGAGCTTTGCTCTAGCTAGTGGCGGCCTATACTTGGGTGCTTCCCACTGCAAATATGGGTGTCTCACTGAGAGCATAATTCACTACAGGCAAAGCGGCGTACCAGGCACACTACTAACAATAGACTGACAGACAGCGAGGTGTTTGTCTAGCTGGATAAGAGGCAAACCAAAATAGCAGCTATCTGCTGCATATACAAGGGCCAAAGGTAGTGTGATAGGAGGTAAGGGAGGAGGGAGAAATGAGAGGGGAGGGTGGAGGGGAGAGAGATGTGTGGCTGGCGTATGTCTGTGTCAGGGAATTTTTTTTTTCACAAGGTGGCTTGAGCCCCGTCTCTAGGTCGTCGATCCTTCTTTATGGTTGCTGCTTTACGAGCTGCTGCTGCTGATTTGCTGCTCCTGTTGCTGCTGCTCTTGCTCCTGCTGCTGCTGTCCTCCTCCTACTACGCTGCTAATTCTGTCTGGGAACGCGTCGCTCGCTTCTCGACCAATACAAGACTCGGAACCGCATCGCATGCGGTTCGAGTGCTCTCCCCTTCTGCTTGTGTGCCATCCACGCGCGGCACTGCGACACCCACGCCAAACGTGACACCACCAGTTGACATGCTACGAATCGACTACGCCTAAGCAGGACTCGGGGCGACTCGACTCGTCTACGCCCACACGTGCATCTTCTCCCGCCGACTCCCGCCGAGGCGCTTCAGGAGGAACCGCCGGATATGCCCAGCTCTGTTGGCGGGGAAAAACTCGCGAACAAATGCGATACGCTTCTCCAGATTTTTGTCGTCAGGAACCTTCGAGGTTCGTTCCTCTGCGTCCCACTCCTTCCAATCTGACCGCGCCACGTCAGTATGGTTGTCGTTCGACCAATCACTGGAGTCGCTGTCGCCCACCACCGAGCCGCACTCGCTGCTGCTGGCGGTCTGCGACGCGCATTCGAATTCCGCGTCGCACAGAACGTCTTGCGCTTTTGAGACGAAAGAAGATGACGTTGAAGATGAAACCAAGGTGTTTCTGCCGCCGTTCCGAGCATCATTCATATTGAACTCGCCACTGAAGTGATTGGGTAGCGTTCGATCATGAACAGGGCTTAAATCGTACGTGCCAGAGCCTTCGGGTTCGGATTCGAGCGAAATTGACGAAAGCGTTCGCTTGAGGACGGGCTGCTTGCCGAACGAGAGGTTAAACGTCGCCAAGCTTCGCAGCGACAGGCTCCGCGACTTTGTGGGGGCTTCAAAATCCCAAGACGATGCTACCCCGCCGCGCTTCGCAAATTCGTTCAGATCATCGCCGGCATCCGACGAATCACAGCCGACCATCCCCCACTCCTCCACCTCGCCATTCCCGAGAAGTGATTCCTCCCTTTCGCGAGCTTTCGCGAAGCTTTTTGGCGAAAGCAATCCTGATCCGGCGCTATTCGCAGCCGTGAGGCTGATTGACCGCGGCATCCATTTTAGTAACTGGGGCCCCTTGTCACCGTTCCCGCTGCCGTGATTACCGGCACTTGGAGAAAGATCAAGCGCAGGGCCGGATTCCCCAAGCGCGGAGAGTTTTCCGCGAATGTCGGGTCCTCGGCGGCGCGAGCTGATGTCGAATTTGGACAAGTCGATGCCGCCCATGGTCGGAGTCTGGAGTTTGAAGCAGTCAGAGGGGGGATGAGGATGGGTCTGTGAGTGGGAGGCTGATTCTGATGGAAAGTTCGGGTAGAAAAATAACGAATTCACGCTCCTCTGAGCATTTGTCTGAACGTTTGCTTTGTATGGTGAGCACTGAGGAGAGAGTGCGGTTGATAACTTGGGCATACAGATTCCGTCTACGTCTCCACCTGTAGGATGTCGTACTGGGAAAAGGTATTAGTTGTCACTGACGTCGGTAGATATGGCGATTCATGTGTGGATATGGTCCTGAATATGTATTGTGGTTGAGGACTGCGACTATGCACCTGCGGAATGTGGTCGCGGATATGACTGCGCGGATGCGTTTCGTGATGTGACTGCTGGTGGGGGGTGCATCTGCGAATTTGGCTGCCGGGGGGAAGCACGGTTCGGTTCACTCTCTTGCGCAGGTGGGCTGAATGGAATTGTTGCGGTTGTGTTGTGGTGGGTCAGTCAGTGCGGTGGCGGGGGGGTGCCCCTTCTCACACCAACCATTTGCCGCAGCGCGACACTGCATCTGGAAGAGTTGGGGGGGTGGGACAGCTGTCAACGGTAACCATGCAGTCAACAGCTCTTCTCTTGACCAGAGAATTTTCACGACCGTTGCGGACGGTGGCTGGTTTCGATGGGGTGGGGTTGTGGATGGAATGGGAGGTTATTTGACAAAACATGCTTTTCATAAATCGACGAGTGTAACAAAACATGCTTACTCTTATACGGGATCCGCATGTGGAGACGTGTTCGCCAAATCCGTCACCATGCTTTTCGCCAAATACTTCGCAGGAGCCGTTGCTAGTAATCGTCGTGAGTGGTGGGAAATCTATCGCCCCCACTTGGCGCCGTCCCCATGCATTCCCGCGCCGCCAAGCCACGAGTAGGGTAACCAACCAGAAACCGAATCGCTACCGACATTTTTGGTGTGCATGTGACCCCCAAAATAGTTTCCCTCTTCCCCCCACGCATGCACCCCCTTCCAAATCCCTTTGGCCTCCTCTTGTCCCTCTGCTCTACTCTATCCACACGTAGGATCTGTCTGTTGTCCCCTGGCCTCCAGCTACCCTGCGGAGACTTCCGCGTCACTCGCGTCGACGACGTGGTAACAGTGCGTACGCCAAGACGAGCCGCATAGTATTCCTCCACACATACACGATTCCAAACCAAGGTGGAGCCATACTTCCGTGGAAGAAGTGAAATTCTTCCAGGGGCAAAAAAAGAAAGGCGCCTCAGTTACCGTTGACAGAGAAACACAGAAGTTAGTGGTCTGGCCAGATCTACCTGATTAGATTCGTGCCTGCAGCACCAGCGTAACAGCGCCGCACAGCTGACAGCACCCTCTCCTGCGAGGCAGTCTATCTGAACCCATCCCATGATCCCATTCAATTAGCTCCTCTCGTTACCGACACCATGGCGCGTTAGGGGTGACGCCTATCCCACCAACCCAAAGCGTCTAGCTCCGGTTGTGAAAAACACGTCCACTCCTACCGAGTCGAACGTTGTGCACACTGCACCGCGGCCCAAGCCATGGCCCGATTCAATGTCCCCTCTCTCGTCTATTCCTCCGTCACCGCCACCCACTGCGCTTCCTCTCCTGGGTGCATGCAACTCAACCCGCACGCACGATGCATTGATCTGAACTCGCTGCACCTTCCACCCCCTCCCCCACTCCCCTTCCGCCCCCCAACCGCACTGCGCGCACAACACAGCGTCAAATTCGTGCTGTACCGCGTCATCAGCGCTGCCGAATTCTCACCGCCGATTTCTCGCCGCCGAATTCACGGTGCCGAATTCTCGACTTCCCGAATTCATCCCGTCATTTTGACTCGACTCAGGACACAACCGTCGCTTGCCTTTCCCGTCCACTCATTTCCCAGTGCAAGCCATCGGCAAAAGCAGGCATGGAAGTGAAAGGCAGCATCATAACAGTTCCTTCATCCAGCTAGTAGTGTCGTAGTGCGAGTTTTAATTCATCATCAAAACAAGCTCTTAGATTCTTAAGATCGCCGTGTCAACGACTACTACTGCTGCTCGATTCATTGGCCATTTTGCGCCATCTCGATAATAGTATCTCCTGCTTTGGCCTTCATACGCCATCTCCGCGCATCTCCCGCCGCTTTCTCCACTTACAGTTTTCTACGACAGTAGCCTGCGCCGGCAAACGCGGCACCGATGGGGTCGGGTATGAGCCGCCCGCGGCGGAAAAAGGGCCCCGACATCCGCGGAAAGATGTCCGCGCTCTCAGAATCCTCCTCCGCCTCCGCCTCCGCCTCCCGCTCCTCCTCCGGCTCCGCTTCCGCCAAAACCTCCTCCCCCTTCGCGTGGATCGCGCAGCGCGCCAAGGCTCTTCGCGAGGGGAAGACGTGGCGGCGGCGGCAGAAGAAGCGGGAGCGGCGGCGGCGCCGCCGGTTGGAGAATTCCGCGCCGGTTGAGCCGGTGGGGCCGTGGCTGCGCGAGATCAGGCCGGAGCAAAATTGGGCGGAAAATCTCTCGGGGAAGCAGTACTGGTCGGAAGCGGCAACGTCGGGGGACATTATCCGAGAGAACGTGCGGAGCCATGTGGCTTCCCCTGAGGCCAAAAGCGCGGGGAAACGCGCGCGGGAAAATATGCGTGTCTCTACGTCCACGCTCTCGCCCCCGCCTCCGCCCATGTTCCCCGCGTCTCCGCCGAGTGGCGAGGCGTCTCAGAATCCATCACAGCCGGCGGGACCCTCGCCGCCTGCCCCGGTTGGACCTTCGCCGCCCATCACTGCGGGGCTTACGCCGCCGATCGCGGCGCCAAGCTGGGGCAGCACCGTGGGCGCCGCGATTCCGGCACATCCTTCTGCAGCTGCTACGGCTGCTACAACAGCTGCTGCGACCATTGCGCCTCCTAATGTTACAGGAATGCATGTGGTTACACCAGATGCTCCTGCTCCTGCTCCAGCTCCTGCTTTTGCTCTTGATCCACCAGCAAAACCTGTCGTCACGGCGGTTCCTATGGATACAGATTTGCTCGCGATCGGCGCTCCTGCTCCGGCTGCTCCTGTCCCTGCAATTGCAATTTCCGCGGCTCCTGTTGTCCCTGCCGTTACACCAGCAGTAGTTGCGGTTACCACACTTTCCAAGGTTACATCGGGTGCAGCAGCGATCTACATAATACAATCTTTCCTAGATGACGTTCCCATGGTTATCGAAGCTCAAACGGCTCTTCAAATTGAAATCCCATCGCTATTGGACGACGTTCCTACTGTCACACCTACTACGGCGACACCTGCTACAGTTTCTTCGCTATTGGACGACGTTCCTGCTGTCACACCTAATACGACGACACCTGCTACAGTTCTCTCGCTATTAGATGACGTTCCTGCTGTCACACCTAATACGACGACACCTGCTACAGTTCCCTCGCTATTGGATGACGTTCCTGTTATCACACCTACGGCAACACCTGCTACAGTTCCCTCGTTAATGGACGACTCTCCCACCATGACTCCAGCCGTTCCTGTGGTTAGCACCACGACACAGCCAGCTGTTACACCTGTTACAACGGTTACACCGGTTACACCGGTTACAGCGGTTACAACAGTCCCAGTTACAACGCCAGTCGAGCCTGGCTGGCTCAGCTTCGTATAGACCTGCAGGAATTTCCGCCGGCTCCACCAAACGATACTCAGGTGGGAAATTGTGAAAAGCAAACCTGGGAGATGCTTTTCAACGCTAAAGGCACAGCTTTGAGTCCGTGTCGTCTTAATTTGCAGCCACTAGGAGGTGTGAAGAGTCAGGCAAGTCCCATGCGTGAATGCTTGAAAGCACGCGCAAAGCCATCAATACATGCACGGCCAGGTCCTACTGTGTTAACTGAAACCAGTAGCTGCATCTGCACTCCTATATGAACTTGCCAGGTGTTTCTCATCCGTCCAGAGCCGCATAGCACTTGTCTTCATGTCTAACCCTGCTAAGGTCTCCTCGTTTTCCTTTCATGAATCCACTTGCCATGGAATTTCCCATTGCCCCCCCTTTATTCTCCCCTCCCCTCTTTTTTTCCCCCCTCTCCCCTTTTCCCCCTGCATTCCCTCTTCTCCCCCTTTTCTCCCTTTCTGTCTTCCCTCAAACACGTGAACACACTCCCTTGCACCATCCCAGCCCCCACTCCTTTCATTTGTGCTGGCATATGTTTGTGTGTACGTGCATGTGTGCATGTGCTTGAGTGTGTTTGACTGTACTCTTGTGTCTGGGAGTTCTTGGGTGACCTTGCGCATTCAGGTTTTTTCATTGACAGGAGAAGGTTGAACCAATGGTACTGGTTCTTATATGTTATGCTTGGTGAAGGGAGTCGAGTCAAGAGGACAATGACCACAAAGTGGTTTCTCATTTACGTCAATTTTGAAGCAGAATACAGCAAATGCATCTGGAAACAGTGCTAAAATATATGTCTTATTCTGTATACCTGCATATCAGCATGGTTTGGGTGATATAGTGTTTTTTCAATGAAATACATATATAAGACTAATGGCTTGCCAGTCTATGTATATGTGTATGTACATAACAAAATGGCTTGCCAGTCTATGTATCGTCACCAGGGGCTATGCTTGTACCTGCACACGTTTGTATGAGCTGATTTGTTGGGTGTCTCCAGTAGGGAAGCACCAGTTCAGCAATGTACCAGCTCAGCCCTAAACAGTGAAATGTTTCCAACGAAAAGCACTGCTCATGCAGGAATGCACAGCACGCGGTTGAACTGCAACTTTTTTTCGCAACTCCGTCACACAGAATGCAAAACGAGGGGCGCGTTTAGGTGCACACGAGCCACAGAAGGAGACCACCTGAGGGGGCTGGTCCAGTAACGGGGTCGTGCGGTGCGGATGGGGGCTGGCTGCTGCGTCGCCGTAACACCATCGTGGTCGTCGTGGGTCGCATCGCATAACACCTGAGGAGGATCTGCGATGTGGCGGATCCATCGGGCATGGCGGAGAGATCTGGGAACACCTTCATGCTTCGTGCGTCCTGCGAGAACCCGCTCATGAATTCCCCTCCCGTCAGGATGTAGGGTCAGGAGGAGTTCAAATTCTGTTTTCAACAAGCGGTTTCATCCCTTCACCTCTTTGAACCGTTGCTCACCAGCCTCAACATTTGTGCATGAACTTGTCAAGGAGCTCTAGTTACCTGCCCTTACGACAATTACAGAACCAGCTTCTTCAAGCTGTAACTGATGAATTCGCTCTACGCTGGTGTCCTGTCTTGCATGACCCTCTCTCCTGTTGACCTATGTGAGATATCTCCTCCCCCATCTCAGCACTCATCCTTATGTAAATATAGATTTGTTTCTTCGATCCAGTTTGCCATCAGAAGCATTTCAGGGACAAACGTTGTGAGCTCGCATTCTTTCTCGCTTCTTTCTTCGAGCGTGACAAAGTCTGCCGCCTCCTGCGCCTGCCGCCTCCTGCGCTTGGCTAAATGGGTTCCCACATGAGCCTACCGAGAGTAAGAGAAGGCCCGGACATCCGTTCCCGAATGTCCGCGCTCGACGGCAGCTACTCCAATTCCACCTCATCCTCTTCATCTTTCCGCCGAAAGCGCATCTTCGCGTTCGACTGGATTACTTCGCGGTCCCCCAGCTTTGGAAAACCGAAACCTAAGCGTCGGCGGAAAGCAAGCAGCGTTTCCAAACGTGAGCATCCGAACCACCTGCCCGTTGCATCGGCGCCGAGCTCCCGAGGTTCGTGGCTGAGAGAAATCCCGCCAGAGAAAAACTGGGCCGAGAAGTATCAGCAGCCTCGGCAGGAACCGCATGGAAGCTCAAGTTCGGAGAGTCACGCGACTCGGGAAGAATTGACACGTCAGCCTTCCGCGTCGAGAGGTTCCGCGAGACAGGAGACGTCGATTGGCTACGACAGCGGAAGCCTGTTGAGGCACGAGGCGCCGGTTATGCCAGTTTCCGCAGGCCCAGCTGCGAAATCAGTGGCGGTGCCGCAAAATGTACCACCTTGGGAATGCCGAGCGGATCAAGGCGAGCAACGCGCTTGGGTTAGTTTCTCTTAGGCGTTGCGAACATGGTTAAGGGAAGGTTTTGGAAATAAGAAGAGTCAGAAACTCGAGAAAGGGCAGGGCATAATCGGTACCGTACTCATGGAGCCCTCACTCGGAAATTAGGGGGCATTGGGCGGATGTGAACCCGTGAAATGCTACGGTAGTACATTCCGCCCTCTCGCCCATGACTTCCGGGTGACTTCCTTCTTCTCCTTGTCTTTATCCCAGCCGGTCTTGACAGGTTGAGCTCCTGTCTGGCTCTTGACCACATGAGCTTTTCCCGTTTGGGGACCCGTCCTGATTTCCTCGGGGCGGTCTAACTTCACATGCATTTGTCAAACCCCTTTTTGTATTTACATCTGTACTGAATAACAATCAGACCAGACCAGAGCCCTGCTACAGTCAGTCTCAGCCTAGCCAATCAGACCTACTTAGAGCTACAGTACAATGCCAGCAGCCTTGCACACAACGCAGCATCCTGAGCACAAGGAAGCATCCGAGCCAAAAGTCTGGACACCATACTAACACCAGCTGAGTCAGGATTGCAGTGAGATTCTCAAAATCAGAAGGCGGAGCCGCTGCCTTTGGACTGCCCCATGAGCACATCCTTAGCCTCGTTGATCTTGGACGCCAGTAGGTCGCTGCCACCTGCGTCTGGGTGATTGGCTGTCATCACTCGCCTGTGGGCCTCCCGCACCTTCTCCTGCGCTGCACTCTCCCTGAAACGTGGGAGGATGTGATATCACGTTGCATATGTAAGCAAAGTTCGACAGACGCAAGCCAACTGTTACAAATGTAAGCTAGAACTTGATGTATAGTACGTGAGGATAGAGGAGACCAAAACATGCTTGTACCATAACTGGATGCAACAGCGAATGAAAAAATGATGATGACGAGATGAGACATCAGATGGCAGGCAGGCACATGCATAGAATCGTAGTTCTATGTTGTCATGCCAGCAAATCTAAGACGATACGCGAAGATGGGCATGGGCACATGAAAGGAAGGATATGCACGCACGATAAGACGGACGCATGATACACTACTATGGACGTATACACCATATACGGAACCCTGGAGGCACCGCTGGCCGATGTACGCGTTAAAGGATGAACACAACGCGCGTACCTGATCCCAAGAATCAGAGCAGCCTCGCGCCGCGTCATAGTAGGCTGGAAGCCCCCCTCGTAGAAGCGCCGAATGCGCGGCACCACGGGTCGCGTTTTAAAGGCCTGCCACGCCTCTATGCCGTACCGCGCCGCGAGAGCCGCCGTTGCCACCGCGACTCCTGCGACGAACGGGCTGGACTGTAACGACGGAGAAGGAGAAAGGAACGAAGTGGAGGGTGATAAATGTAAGACGCGTGCAATGAACGGAAGAAGAGTGAGCTGCCGTTGCCACCGCGACTCCTGCGACAAATGGACTGGACTGCAACGACGGAGAAGAAGAAAAGGGAAGAAGTGGAAGGTGATACAGAGGAAACACGTGAATTCGAAGGAAGAAGAGCGAGCAATCGGTAAGATATCGTTTCCTGCGACAAACGGGCTGGACTGCAATGACAGAGAAAGGAAAAACGTGGCGAGTGACGGGTGATAGAGGAAGAACGCGTGACATGAGAGGAAGAAGAGCGAGCCTCTGCTGCCACCGCGATTCTTGCAACGAACGGACTGGACTGCCGCAACAACGGAGACGAAGAACGAAGTGGAACGGAAGAAGAGTGAGCCGCCGCTACAGCGACTCCTGCGACAAACGGACTGGACTGCGACGACGGAGGGAGGGAGAAAGTGGAGGTGATAAAGAAGAAACGCGTGGATTCCAAAGAACAAGAGGGAGCAGGCGGTAAGACAGCGACTCCTGCGACAAACGGACTGGACTGCGACGACGGAGGGAGGGAAAAATTGGAGGATCGCATACGAGGAGACCGTTGAACGAAGGAGAACGAAGGAGAACTAAGGGAAGACGAGCGAGGGAGGGGAAGGCGAGAAAAATGTCAGTCCAGCAATTCGATCCATTCACGGATTGCAGTGCGATGATGGAGGAGAAGCAATGGGCGAACGGAGGGAGAAAAAGAGGAACAACAGCAAGTTCTGCAAAGGGAAACGATGGAGAAGTGCTGCATCGTATCCTGGCACGAACTGACGGGACTCCGACGATACGATGGAGACGAAACGGGAGACGAAGAGGGTTCCAGCTTACCAACTATGTACATTTGATTTAAACGAAGCCGCACGGATTCAACCTACCATGATTGCGCGCGATGGAATCAACGCTTCACGCACGGCACGACGCAATCTTGCGACGATCCAATCACGTGACGATATGAAAAGCGATGAACGCGGTGATTCGAACAACCGCGACGAACCGCGACGAGCTAACAAGCCTACAGGATGGAGAGCCACGCGACAAGAGGGACGACCGCGTGGCGACTGGGCGACGGGAGACGGCGCGGGGAGGAGGCGAGAGGGCGAGCTGAGAGCACGGATCTGTCAATCCAACGAGACTACTGGCTACCGAAGGTAACGGTACCACAGACACCGGTCACCGCCAAAGCTAAGTAGCTCGCACCGCACCCTCCCGAAAGACAGGCTCCTGTTCTTCTCGCTCTCTGCAAGCGATTTGAGTCCATACGTACTAGAATCAAGCTTTGTTGGGGCCCGTAATCTCGCAGCCTTTCGGGTTGCGGCGGCTGAGGGTATCGCTGATGTTCCGAGCATGCACAAAGGGGAAAGTTCGAGAACAACTATGCGTTTCAGAACGGTTGGTTCACGTCCTAGAACGTTCGAGTAGAGTTTAGACAGTTTGTGTTGTGACATACGCGTCAGTGAGCTTTACGAATTTCCGAAGGGCGTAAGTAGTAGCCAACAATGGAGCTTACACATTGATATGAAAGCCAAAACAAAAATATGAACAGTAAGATAGCTATCACCAGAACACAGAATTAGGCACATTCTCAAGCAAACTCTAGGCCGTTTTGTAATGATGTACACAAAATGCAGCAATGCGATCCCAGGCCTCAGAGATTATATGGGGCGGAACGGAGAGCACAACCCGCACCCAGCCAGGCAAACGGAACGCAGTGCCTGGAATCAGAACCACCCTCTGCTCTTGCAAAAGCTGCCTGCACCATGAAATGTCGTCTTGGAATGATGGGAAGCGTGCTAGGTCAACACGGACCTGTGGTTTGAAAGAGAAATGCACGGAGCAGGAGGGGGGGGAGGGGTTGGGGGGGGGGTGGTGGTTTGAATATTGAAACGTCTGAAATGTCGTCGGGGAATGATGGGAAGCGTGCTAGGTCAACACGGACCTGTGGTTTCGATTCGAAGAGAAATAAAGGGAGCGACAGGAGCAGAGAGGGGGGGGGGGGGGGGGGAGCGGAGAGAGGAAACGTGAGAAAGTAAGTAGGCCCGAGAGATCAAGCGAAGTGCACGTGTACACAAGCACGTGTAGGCACAAAAATACTCACACACACACACACACACACACACACACACACACACAAACACACACACACACACACACACATGCGCATGTACGCCCATCCACCCACATACCATGAGGAACATCCCTCCCTGCGGTTCACTGGGACACTCCAGGCCTGAAACGGCACCGACCCGAGAGGCTGGAGTGGGGACGCACATGCACACACACACACACATGCACACCTGCACGCACCTTCACACACATACTACAGCTACGCCAACACATACATAGTGACTGCCCACCCACATACCATGAGGAACATCCCTCCCTGCGGTTCACTGGGACACTCCAGGCCCGGAATGGCGCCGACCCGAGACAGGCTGGTGCGGGCGGCATCTGCCAGCTGGCAGGTGAGGTCGCGGAGGAAGGAGGGCGGCGTGGTGTTGAGAACGGCAGGGAGGGCGGCCTGGGGCGAGGAGGAGGGCGGAAGAGAGGGGGGAGAAGGGGAGGAAGGGTCAAAACGAATCCAGCGGAAAAAAATAGAGAAACACAGATGTGTGCGGAAAGCACACGGTAGGTGAAGTGCCTTCGCAATGCCTTCTGTGGAAAAGACTTTGGAGGCACGGAAAGGCAATGGAGGTTCACACCGTACCTGGATGAGGGAGCACGGCTGAGGAGCGTACTGCAGGATTCGCTCCAAAGACTCGATGACCTGATTGTATGGGAGCGTGAGAGCGTGGGGGCGTTTGAGCACGGGGAGGATGGAATGATGGAAGCATGAAATCATGGTGCAAGAACAAAGGAATTGGATTAGGCACCATTACATCAGTAAGAAAGATTGAAAGAGAGACTTGTGCAGGAAGAGGAGTCAGAAACAGGGACAATTGAAATAGTGAAAGTGGGATGGAACTTGAAAGAGAAAAGGAGGGAGAGCCAAAAAGAGACAAACAAAGCGCAGCGAACCTTGGAGGCTTACCCTAGCATCCCTCAGAATGTGGCGAGGGCCGTGCATGCAACCCACCACAACCTCGTGCATAGCCAGAAAAGACTAAGTCAAGTCAGACTTACCCTTGCATCCCTCAGGACGTGGCGAGGGTCGTGCACTGCAATCCACCCCACCCTCCACCCCGGCACCAGGAATCGCTTCGACAACGAGCTGACTGTCAGTATCGGCACACTGCCCGCTGCTGCTGCTGCCGCCGCTGCTGCTGTAATAGATGCTTTCTTCGGCGCAGCTTCATGGGTTGCCTCTCCTCCACTAACAACAGGCCCGTTACCATTTTCCACATGCACCCCGTTACCAACCATCCCATTGCTGCCAGCTGCTGCAGTCGAGTTAGCAGCGTGGTCGGCATGGGATTGCTGGGGTTGTGGCGGATGTTGCAGGGCTAGCTGCATGGCGGCAGCCCGCAAAGGGATGAAGGGCGAAGCTTCCTGGAAAGCGATGCCCTCGTACACCTCGTCAGCTAGGATTGGTAGGCGGAGAGCAGCTGCTGTGGTGAGGATCTGTGGGAGTGGATTAGGGGATGAAGAGAGGGAGGGGATGAAAGGGGAGGAGAGGGGAGGGGAAAAGAGGGGACTCTTGAGTCGACTAAATTCAGCGCGATGCCCTCGCACACCTCGTTTTTTAGTCGACTAAAAAATAGGCCCTCATACACCTCGTCAGCTAGGATTGGTAGGCGGAGGGCCGCTGCTGTGGTGAGGATCTGTGGGAAGTGGACGAGACGTGGGTAGAGGATGAGGAATGGTTAGGGGCGGGGTGTGGGAAGAGGGGAAGGGAGGGGAGGGGAGGAGGGGGGAGAGGAGAGAAGGGGAGGTTATGGAGGAGAGGGGATGAGAGGGAGATGGGGTGAGTGACGTAAGCAGAAAGAACGCATTCACGAGAGCAAAAGGACGAGGAAATATGAGGAAAGCCCAGCTCCACCAGATGCTTCCCGGAGAAAGCTCAGAACTCACCTCCACCAGATGCTGCCGAGAATAGACCTGGCCGCAGGGATTCCCTGGATTGCACACCAGTATAGCCACCGTGTTTGCATCACGAAGTTTTGCAACCTGCCCGAGATCCACCTCCCAGTCCTTCTCGGGCAGGAGGTCGTAAAATCTGGGCTCCAAGCCAGAGTGCAGACACATGCACTCGTAGACCGGGAATCCCGGGCGGGGCAGCAAAATATTTCTGCCCGGATTGGCGAGCGCGTCTAGGCACAGTTGGATGGAAGGGCCACATCCTCCAGTGATGTACACGTCAGCAGCTGAGCATGTGGGCGCGCATCCTGCTGACGTGGCAGGAGAGAGTGTTTCCAGTGCTGACGTGGAGCAAAATTCAGCCACCGCCCTGTGATGATGGGAGGATGGGGTTGGTTGGAGTAGGAGGAGAAGAGGTGCGTTGAGGGATGCTTTATATGAGGCACCTCTTAGTTCAGCCAACGCTCCCTAACGGCGGATGTGTGCATGGAGGGATGGGTTTGGGTGGGAAAGCAGAGGAGACGAGGTGCGTTGAGGAGGGCTTTTCTGGGGCACCTCTTAGTTCAACCACTGTCTTGTGATAGTGGATGGGTGTGCATGGGAGCATGGGGTTGGGTGGGGAACCGGATGAGAAGATGCGTTGAGGGAAGAGGGGGGGAGGAGAGGAAAATGGGGTAGCGGGGTGGGGGAAGGATCAGCAGCGACGTGGAAGGTATGGAATGGGGAATCCGGGGCAGAGGACAAATGAGAACGGGAGAACGAGAAGAGGAAAGGGAGAGAGGAGGAGTGGAAGGTAGGAGAGCCTACAGAGTTGAATGTTGTGGGGGGAAAGGAGGGAGGGAGGAGGGAGGGGAGGGAAGGGGGTGGTGGGAGGAGGGGGAAGGGGATGAGAAGGCAGGAGGTGGGACTGGGAAGGGGTAGTGTCACGTAACCCTCGTTTCTTTCCAGCGTTTCAGGTCTCTGGTTGTTTGTTGCACCTGTCTCGCCAACAAGAAGAAGTCCAAGGCTTATCCAAACAAGAACGACTGTACACCATGCTGTTTTCCTGCCTTTTCTTTTCATCACTTCAGCCCACGTGTCTGCTGTTCAGTCCAGACAAACAACTGGAACTGGGATAATATCACTTCCCAAAAACTGCCAAATTCCAATACCTCTCACATGCTACACGTCAGCAGCGTACCTGCGTGCGTCAGGCAGTCCATTAGAGGGCGGGTATCCGTTATAGCGACCACTCGCTATAGCGTCCTGCACGGCGCGCACTGCAACATCCGGCAGCTTCAAATGCCCGAACGCCGTCGGATCCCCTTGACCCAACGAGATCAGCGGCTTCGGAGGAGCGACAGGCGCGGCATCGGACGCAGCAGGCGCAGAAGTTGCGGCGAGCACGCCGGCGAGAGAGTCGGTAATCTTGCGGATGGGATTCTCGATGGAAAGCGACAGCCGCGACGCCTCCACAGCCCACGCCACCGGCATTTCCGCGTCGTCTAAGAGTCTCTTCGCGTCCCAAACGGCCGTGTTTTTCTCGTCCAGCGGAGAAGCCATGGCGCCGGCACCGTCGCACTGCGTCGCCACTGAATTCATCGCAACTGGTGCTTGTTGCGCGAGAGCCGGTGCTCCTCGAGGCGCTTCGGAGGCTGGCTCGGCTAATGGCTTTAGGTCTGACTGAGAGAGTGGTTTCTGGAACGGGGCCTGGGGAGCGCAGGGTCGATCGGGATGGCTGCGGATGGTCTCTGCGGTAAACGCTGGCGCCATGCGAGTCGGCGATTGGACTTTCTGTTTTAGGCCTTTTAATGTTCCGTCCAGACGTTCGGACGATGCTACAGCCCAACGCTGAAAAACTGTTCGAAATCCCGCAGTTTCCGTCCGGTGGCTTAAGCAAAACGCGGAAAAGCGCCCCAGTAATGGCTCGTCGATCGCGCTTGACGCTACAATTCAAGAATCGGGAGAACCGTCCAGGAACAGGCAGCACCAACAGATTTACTACTAGGTCACTGCAAACACGAGTCCCGGACAGGCAGAGCAACGAATACTGGGGATGGGATGGTGCGAGGAGGCAGGAAGGAGAGATAGAGAGGCTGTGGAAGCGGGGAAGCGAAGCGGGGAAGCGAAGCGTGGACGCTCAGGCAACTAGGCGAGAATGACTCGCTGCATCGTTACCATGTATCCTCAGTGTCCATGCATCGTCGGAGGAATGTTTGCAGAGCGCAAAACAAGAAACAGTCGCGTGCGCTTCGCACCGCTGTGAACGGGTTGCAGTTTTCCTCCTAGCGCCGCCTAGTCTAGACTCGATCCTAGAACGCCGCACAGCTGCAAACGGTTTCGGCTTCCTCGAGATAGGATTTTTTTCTGGTTTGAGAATTACGGTGAGGCGGAGGGATGTGCGGAGTGCACAGGGTTGATTGTGGGGGGACGGGAAGGTTGGTTGCGGGGGAAGCTGGTAGGCTTGAAGGTCGCGCAACATTGGGGATGTCGAGTTGGGATGTAGGATGCGATGCGTCATTTCTCCGTCACAGAATCGTTATGACAAGTACTCAACCGTACTGAACTTCTGTCTGCGACTGTGTTTTCTCAGACAAAGACATCCGCTGAGCTTGAGGGATCACATGACGTGGCGATCGGCGGAATGCTTGACGGTTTGGGTGCGGAGAATTGCGGAGGGTAGTCGGAGACGACACGGCGAAAGGCACACGTCTCGCTGACGAGGAAGCCACGCCTACGATGCATGAAAGACGAGGCTGAGGTGCACGCCACGTCACCCAAAAGGTCGGCCAAGAAGTGTCTTCTAGTTCAGCAGATATATGCTTTATAGCATCTCTCTCCTTGCATCATATAGTGGGTCCACTTTTATTATTTAAGATTTCACCTGTTTTGCATTTGACCAGACAGCCAAAGCGCGGGGTGTCAGAACTTCGCATCCCAAGGTCTGCAAGTTGCTCAGTCGCGGCTCCGTCAGGACATTCTCTTCGGGGGAGGGAGAATCCTCTGGGATGTGGAAGGCACAATTCAGGTTGCGATCCAGCGAACGTCGTCACGGGTGTTTGGATCTCGACGACAGTGGTTACCGGCTTACCAATTCTGATGGAAACCGCGACCCGGGCTCGGCGGTGGTGACCAAAGGTTTCCCGCCAAGTCCAGGGCAGAGCCAACCTACGCAAAAACAATCTGCCTTGGCAGATTGGCAGAGATTGACATCAACCACAATATGTAATTCCAAACCTTGTAGCTCCCCATCCCTCCTGTCTGTCTGATTGTTGACTCTCCCGAAAGCCAAAAAATATGTTTTTTGTCGAGATTCTGGGATCAACTGGCTCCTCGAGTGTGCTCATTAGTAACCTAATGTATGCCGCGAGTCGCCCCGAAGGCTACACAATGCTTGTACTTCTTCCTGTTGCTCCCATAAGGCCTCTAGGAACCACGCAAGGATAAAGCTTCCTTAGTGAGCTTCCTGTTGCTCACATGCAGTGACGTTTGTACTTTCTCATTCCGCGATCATTCACAGGCTGGTTTCACGCAGAGAACGATTTCTCCAGAATGGGACCAAGCCTGGAATCAGATAAGCCCCTTAGGCCCTCACGATCACTACTTAGTAGACAGCCAAGCAGGCTCGCGACATTCTTCTCTCGACGCGCAGTAGTAGCATACGACAAGCTCGGCGATCCATTGCTCTACAATCCGACCGCCGTCGGCGACTGCAAAGGCCACAGTTTAGACCACGTTGACCTCGTTGACCGCATTGACCTGGCAGATCTCCTGCCTCCGTCGAAAAAGGATTCAAGCACTAATAACAGGTCAGTCTTTAGAGGATCGTGCAGATTATGGAACTACGCGACAGCGTGTCTCCTGCTAGTAGCTCTCATCAACCAATACCTTAGAGTAGCGCATCAGCCGTTAAATAAGCAAAAGGATCTTCTTTCCGATATTAGGATCGAGACGACGCCAAGCGATACTAGTAACAAAGCTTCTTCCGAATCGCTTCCGGCTGTAAATCTGGCCGTGACGCGCCAGGATGTACTATCCGACATTAGGATCGAAACCATGGCTGCCGGCGAGGCTGTCAACAGGACGATAGAGCGGGGTCTGACGTTTCTCCAGCTCTGGGCTCAAGCTAACGGCGTCGAGCTTTCGCGAATGGCGACCGTTAACGTTGGCGGGAACTTGTCGCGAATCGCGACGGTCAACGTTGACGGAGACGGACACGTGTCGCTTCCCGTAACAACCACATTTTTCAGTGTTCCGTTCACTGTCCCGAGTCCAAACATAACATGGAAGGATATCTATCCCGAATGGATCGACGAATCACAGAACTCCTCCTGTCCGAAAATCCCGGAACCAGACTGGTTCGCAGACGACTCCGATCCAGGCGCGGCGGGAAACGGCCAAAGGCCCGTTGGGGAAGTCACCAGTGCAACGGAGCACTCCCAAAGTTCCCCGTTAGTGTCACACTCTTTATTGGGGTCGTTCGATGGCGTGGTGGCGTCGCTGCCGTGCGAGTCGCAGCCGGCGGATTCGTGGGCGAGAGACGTGCGGTGGCATCACCTCATGCTGACGGTTGGCCGGCTGGTTACCAAGGTGAGCGTTTACGTTAACCGAGCCATGTTTATCTGCGGACCTACACATCCCTTTTCTCTCATGATCCGAGTTTTGAGGCGCCTCAGGACTTGGTTACTAGTACCGTGCTCCTCACGGCACGGTAACATGGGGGTACTGTGTAAGACGTCTCATCATGAGACGGGATCATGATGATCCCGTGTAAAGACGCCTTTGAGTGGATGACGATGTTCATGACGGAGTTGTGATTTACCCTTCAGCCCTTACCACCCTTTCCCACCGATTCCCCCCCCTTCCCACCCACTCCCGCCGTCTCCCACCCCTCCCACTCATCCTTCCTATCCTCCGTGCTCACTCTCGCCGCCTCCCAGTCCACGTCAGCAATGACGCCGGTGCTAATGTTCACCGAGTGCCGCCCGCCGCCGAACCTCTTCCGCTGCCGCGATCTGGTGATGCACGAGGGGCCAATCTGGCTCTACCACGTGGCACCCGCCGCCATGCGTGAGCGTCTGCAGCCAATCGGGTCGTGCCAGCTGGCGCACCCGACGACCTTGGCGGAAGTGGGCAGGGCGGAAGAGGGAGCACAGAAAGGGCGGGATGCCGCTCGGAGAACAGGAGAAGCGCACGAAGCGGAACTAGTGGAGGCGCCCCAGGAAGCGCGAGGTTCGGCGCGGCAAATGCTGGAATCGCGGACACCCCAAGGGTCGCCTCGAGCGGCGCCGCGAGTGGCTTACGCGTCGGTGCTGCACACGACAGAGGACTACGTGTGCGGCGCGATCGTGCTGGGTAGGAGCCTGAAGAAGAGCAGGACGAAGGTGGACCTGGTGCTGCTGGTGTCGCGGGAAATCAGCCGCAAGAGCCGCAAGGGACTGAAGAAGGCGGGGTGGCGGCTCAAGGAGATCGAGCGGATTCGCAACCCGCGCGCCGTGCCCAAGACTTATAACGAGTGGAACTACAGGTGCGTGCGGGGAGGGAAGGGAGGGGAAGGGGGTGAGCAGAGGGGGGACAGAGGGGGGAGATGACGAGGGTTACAGGTGCATCTGAAGGGGGAATGGAAGGCAAGGGCGCATTCGCAACCCGCACGCCATGCCCAAGACGTACAACGAGTGGAACTACAGGTGCGTAAGGGGGGGAGGGGGGGGGGGGGAAGCAAGCTGCGTCTCTGGCAACTCGGGGAGTAGACAAAGTCATGCCTTTGGTTGTTGTTGCAACCACCTATAACTCCTGCACTCTTTCTCCCATCCCCCCACCCCGCATTACCCCACCCTCACCAGCAAGCTCCGCCTGTGGCAGCTCGAGGAGCATGACAAGGTCATATTCGTAACTTGTAACCGGGGCTAATACCTGCTCTCCTTCTCCCTTTCCCCATCTCCCACCCTCCACCAGCAAGCTGCGCCTGTGGCAACTCGAGGAGTACGACAAGGTCATATTTGTCGACTCGGACGTCCTTGTTTTAAAGAACCTCGATTTCCTCTTCAGCTACCCCGAGCTCTCGGCCCGCGGCAACGCGCGCCACCTCTTTAATTCCGGAGTCATGGTTCTAGAACCCTCCAACTGCACCTTTAATCTCTTCATGTCCCACGTCACCACCCTCACCTCCTGCAACGGCGGCGACCAAGGGTTTCTAAATAATGTTTTCGCGTGGTGGCACCGGCTGCCCGAGTCGGTCAGCATGTTGAAATATTCCTGGAACGGGGACACCGGTGCGGGCGGGACGGCGCAGCGGGCGGCAAAGCGGGCGGCGCAGCAGGCGGCGCAGCGGGCGATGCTTGACTTAGTGTTTTCGGCCGAGCCGGCTCGGGTGCATGGGATTCACTACCTGGGGCGGAAGCCGTGGCAGTGCTACCGCGACTTTGACTGCACGTGGCTGTACCCGTGGGACCACCAGTACGTGAGCGACGCCGCCCATGCCCGCTGGTGGGCACAGCACGACCTCATGCGCCCATCCTTGCAGGAGTACTGCTGGCTGCCCAACAGGTGCGTTGTTGGGCTGCCACTGCTGTGTGTGGGTGCGTGTGGATGGGTGAAAATGGGTGTAGATGTGTGCAGATGTCAGGTGGAAGGCAGAGATGGAGTATCACAGACAGGTGCTTGAGAAAGAATAGTTTTCCGCAGTTTTTTTAAATTTTAACTTCTCCGTCATGTGAAGGGGCAGAAGAATGTGAAGGCTCTTAAACTGACTTTACCCCCTTCAACCCCATCAGCACTATCAACCCCATCAACCCCCCCCTTCTGCTGCTCCCATCTTCTCTCTTCCCCTGTCAACCATCAGGTGGAAGGCAGAGATGGAGTATCGCAGGCGAGTGCTGAAGAAGGAGAAAGCTCCTGCAGCGTTTTGGAACTTCACGATTAAAGACCCAAGGAGGGACCTGTGTGTGAAGGGACAGACCACGTGCAACTGGCGGGGGTATCTCAAACACTGGAACAAACGATGATAGGGAGAAAGTGGAAGTCACCTCCATTTTTTAGGCTCCTGAAAAATAGGTGCCCGAACACTGGACGAAGTGATGCAAGGGATCAAATGCTCAAAACACTGTACGTATGCATGACCTCTGGTGTGTGTGAATGGAGCACAAGACGTGCCCAATAACGACCTACAGTACTTTCTCCGGTACAGTCTATTCCGTACAAGATGCTATGCCGCCAACCTTGATAGGCGGACATTTCTTAGATGGCATTGTAATACGTACCATATGTGAAGGAGGAGCTGGTAAGCTGTACAGTGCAATATGAAATGTGCAATTACTCAATTTGTGGAACTGGTAAGATGTATAATGCAATAAGCAATGTGCAATTACTCAATATAACGGTGCACAGTTTTAACAAGGCTAGTCTCAAATCAATCAGTGCAAAGAGTGCCCCAATAAGCAAGCCCCTGCTCGCCGTAAGAAGAGTACCGCATCTCAAGGCAAGACTGGTCACTGGTCCCCCAACCGTTCTTCCACATCTATCAAGGACGGATGGGGGTTGCACTACATACCCCAGTGTCCACACTCCCAGCTACCGTTATATAATTGGGCTATAATAGGGCTGGTTGGTAGGGAGAGAGCCATAGGCTTGTCTCAGATTCTGCGTAACTCAGAAATGGTGCAGGCAGAGAAGGCATCACACCTTTAGAAGTGCCCAGATATTGCCTTCCTGCATTGCCTTTCCGCGCCTCCTGACCTCTCCAAACCTACTGAACCCAGCGAGCCTACTGCTGACCTCGCTGCAGCTACTATAGTTATTAGTGGCAGCCAGGTCATGAGGGCATATGAGAGTATTTCTGCAACACTAACCTCGGAATCACAACAGACGTCAGCACCTACTGACGATACCGCAGCTGCTCTATTCCAGCTCAAAAACTGCCTCGGGATTGCCACTCGCCAAAGCCTTGCCGCAGCTGCTCTTTGCAGCAGAAATACTGCCTCGGGATTACCGCTGCAGCTGCAGCGGCTCTATTTAGCTACCGGTAGCTGTAGCCCCTCTACTAAAGGAGATTGCCTTTTACCCAGCAGCCTTTGAGGCGCCTCAACAGGTGCACCTACTCTATTGGGCTAGCTGCAACTCGCCGTTTACCCAACGCTTTGAGGTTCCTCAAGAGCTGCAGCCTGCACACTACTCTACTGGGCTAGCTGCAACTCGCCGTTTTCCCAGCGGGCCGGCTGGTGGGGAGGCGTCCTGCGGACGTTTTTGCAAGTGGTTCTTGACAGGGGCGGCAGCGGGGGCGGGGCGAGGGGAGGAGAAGGAGAACTGGCGCGACGTGATGCCCTGCATGCGGTACTTGGGGTGGTCTGCTAGGAACCTGCAGGTGGAGAGCGTCAAAGAGGGATGGAGGTGGATACAGAGGGATGTGAAGGGGTGAAGTGAGAGGGAGAAGGTGTCTTGCTAGATGAGAGGGGAAGATGCATGCATGCCATGTGAGGGAGGGAGACGAAGAAAATCAGCGCATTCTAAAGCGTCTCAAGCTTTTTAAGCAGGCTCAAAAGCCAGCTCTTGAGGTGGACCAAACGAGGAGGTTAGGAGTGTACTATGTGAAGACAGTGGGTGGTGAAAATAAATGCTTGATCATGTGAGAGAGAGGGGGAGACAGAGTGAGAAGGGAAGGGGGTAGGAGATGGTGGAGAACGATGAGTGTCGTTTGTGAGGCACCTCAAAAGTAGGAGGGAGATGATGAAGATTAATGAGTGCGAAAGTAGAGATCAGTGAGTGCGAAAATAAATTATATGAATTCTAGCAAAACACACGAGAGGAGGAGAATGCATTGCAAGAACGGCTGTTGATGAATGGCGAGAATGCAATCCACTAGTATCCGTTTTATGAGGTGGTTGCGTCCCTGGCCCACCACCACTACGATCCAGCTCACCTTTCAATCAACGTCATTGACTGATCTCAACGGCTCACCTTTCAACGTCATTGACTGATCTCAACGACTTTCCACAGGGCGAGTGGTAGTACCTGGTAAGAACAAAGGTTCCAAGAAAATGCAAGACGGAAAGACAGAGGTAAGAGACGCGAGAGGGAAGCGCCATCTACCCAACTACAGCGAGCAAAGACAGAGCAGGCGAGACAAAATAAGCGGGAGAAAGAAGAGAAAACGAACGGGAAGGAGGAGAAAGAAGGGAGGGATATAAAACCTCTGTAAGCAAGAAAGTGACGCATTTCCACGTCTGTGAGATTTGTGCGATTATTTGTTTCCTCCATAGCTTGTGCAACCTAAGAAACCGCCAACACTCACACGTCCGAAAACTTCGCGGAAGACCCTCCGCGAACCACGATGCGCCGCCGCCACCCGGGGGGCGGCTGCGGAATATCCGGGCGGTCGAGCGCCCACATGTACGTGCCGTCCTGCACCAAATCCGGCTCGTCTGCGCACGAGCACGACGGCTTCCATCTCCGCGCGTGCGCGCACGTGAAGGGCTCGATGGACACCCGCGCGCGGATGCTCTCGTACTCATCGAGGGTGGGCACCTTGCGCCATTTGTAGCAGAGCGCGCATTGCACGGTAAACGCGACTAGGGTTGCCGTCGCGCGCTTGTTCGAGTCGGGCGGGGTGGCTGCAGCGGCGGCGGCGACGGCGGCGCGCGGCTTGTTCGCGTCGGGCGGAGTCGCTACTACCGCTGGTGCCTCGTCGGCGGCGGCGCCTGCTGCGGCGGTGGTCGATTTTGCGGCTGGTGTGGCGAGTGACGTTTCGCTAGTCGAAATGGTCGCCATTTAGAGATATAAGCAATCTTGGCAGTGAAAGCTAAAAAAACGTCCGTACGAAACGGATGTTGATCGACTCTCAAGTCCCTGGGTGAGAATACAAACCTTATGAGGCAGGCGAAGACTAAAAGTGGTACCCGCCGTGCAAAAGCGAACTCGACGCTAAGTTAGCGACGGTGAATGCAACAACGCAATTTCCTTGGTCCCTGGCGCGGCCCTCACGCAATGGCACTATATTATCTCTCCTACAATACGGTTTGACCGAATCAAGTTAAGGAATGGGCACCGCGACCCTACTTTGCGTTAGTAAAATAGCTGCTTGCGTGCTCAACTGCGCACGTCAAGGGAATGCGAGAAGTGAACCTAAAGCACGAGCAACTAGACAGCCACAGACAGCACTAACTCGGCAACTTTAGGGCGGGTCACGGAACTAACCTAGCCTAGGGCCGGATTCAAGTGCCTTTCCTAACCAAGAGGTACAGTACAAACTAACCGAAGGAGTTTTCCGAGCCACGCTTCTGCGGATGTCTCAAGACCTGAGATGCAACTTGTCGCTAGCCTTCAAGTTCCGTAAAACGCGTCCCACGGGTCATACATTTTTGTTGAGGGTTCCTATAACGCGCTTCAATCCGGTTTACTATGTTTGAGAGTGGTTCTAGACTTTCAATGTCTTAAATTAACATGAAAAGGTAATGGTAGACGATCTAGAGCTACAGCTGCTGGTGATCAAGCTCAAAATGGCTCCTTGCGCGCTGATGGGAGTGGGTATGCATAGGTGTTACGGGTGCAATGAATCGAGGTAGCGAGGATTGCACTAAAGTGTCAAACAAGTACAAAATGTGAGCGAAGGCATGAGCGAACATTTATACGCGAAACATGCAAACGGTAACGCGGCGCGTGCGAGCTAGCTAGTGCTACGCTGGCGCGAGGTTCGGGCTAGTCCCGAAGCGTAGGCCGACTCGGCTGCTCCAGCAGTGCGAGGTTTGGTGAAAACAGTGCGCGCGATGCCCCGGTAGCAGTAACGGGCGAACAACGGTTGTTGCTGTACGCGATGTTGCGGGCTGCGCTAAGGAATGTCGAGAAAATTCCTTACACTACCCTCCCCCCTCAAGAAGCCCCCTCCGCTACGCGAGTGCGTGTATATCGCGGAAACCCCGGCTCCTCAGGTACACTTGCAGGGCAGGGTGGTTTTCGATGTTGGCCAGGGGCACCCAGCTATCCTCAGTTGGCGTGCGGTTCTTCCAGCGAACGAGGAATTCAATCCTCCTGATTCCCGTGGGGTGTCGAATCCGATGGCTCAGGATCTTTTCGGGCTCGATGATCGGCTCCGATGCAGGGCGAGTCATGGATGGCGGGCGGTGACGAGGCAGTTGGCTTGTGGTTGGGATGTAGGGGCGAAGTAGGCTGACGTGGAATGATGAGCTGATGTACCAGTCTGTCGGCAACAGTAAGTGGGCTGTCACTGGGGTAATCACGTGGCTGATTTGGAATGGTCCACAGTAGCGGGGTCGTAATTTCGGTACGACGGGCAGTCTTAAGTTCTGTGTATCGAGCAGTACGTAATCGCCTGACTGGTATGTGACTGGGCGGCGGTGGCGGTCAGCGTTGCGCTTAGCGATGGCATTTGCCTTTTTAATTGCTTCAGCGGCTCTGGTGCGGGCAGCTTGCAGAATTTCGGCGAATTGCTGTGCACGTGGCGTTGGGTTGTCCGGACTCGGCGTCATAGGCACTGTAGGGTTTTGCCCGTAGTTCAGGTAAAATGGGGACTGCTGCGTCGTTGCTGACGTGGCGTTGTTGTACGCGAACTCAATCAGCGGCAGCTGCTGCTCCCAAGTTGTCGGGTCGTCGCACGTGGCACGAATCAACTGCTCCATCGTCTGATTCGTCCGCTCCGTTTGACCGTCGGTCTCGGGGTGGTACGACGAGCTGAACTGTAGCCTGGTCCCGAACTGCTCCCAGAGGTTCTTCCAAAAATTGCTGGTGAACTTCGTGTCGCGGTCGCTGATTATCGCGGCAAGTATCCCGTGTAGTCGAACGACGGTTGCGATGAACAGGCGAGCGGTTTCTTCGGCTGAGATCGATTTCTTGCACGCAGCGAAGTGAGCCATTTTCGTCAACCTGTCAACGACGACCATAACCGCGTCGTTACCCCCAGGGTTCGAAGGTAACCCTGTGACGAAATCCATGGTAACCTGCTGCCGGGCGCGCTCGGGCGGTGGAATCGGCTGCAACTGACCCGCCTTTCTCTTTCGCGAGCTCTTCATCACCTGACACGTAGGACACGAGCCCACGTGGTGCTGTACGTCGGTCAACAGCTCCGGCCAGTAGTAGTACCGCTGCAGTTGCTGTCGCGTTTTTTCTACCCCGAAATGGCCCGAGGTAATCCCGTCGTGTGCCTCCTGCAGTAACAGTTCCCTCAGTAGTGAGTACGCGGGTACCCAGATGCGGTTGGTGCCTGTTTTTACGTAATAAACTCCTTTTGCTTCAGCCAGTTGCTGTGAATTTCCGGTCGTGAAAAATGGGTCGGTGCTGTATCCGTGGGTGAATCGGCCAGTTAGCAGTGGGTTGGTTTGGGCGAGTAGGATGGCGTGGAGTTGGGCGGTGGGGCGTGTGAGTGCGTCGGCGATGTTGGATGCACCTTTTTTGTACGTGACGGTGTAGTGGAAGTTGGACTCCAGATAGTCCAACCAACGAATCTGACGCGGGTTGAGGTTCGGTTGGGCGCGAAGGTACTGTAGTGATCGGTGGTCTGTCCGTACTGTCACGTCTGCTCCCATGAGGTAACATCACCACACTTTGAACGCGTGCACGATCGCCAGCATCTCGCGGTCGTGTATCGGGTAGTTGCGTTCGGGCGGGTGAAGCTTGCGGGACTCGTACGCGATTGGCTGGAGGCCGTTCCCGAAGTCCTGCAACAGTGCTGCTCCCACAGCGATGTCGATAGCGTCGGTGACGAGCTCGAACGGACGGTGCGGATCTGCGATGTGAAGCACAGGTGGCGAGCACAAAATTTCTTTGAGGGCCGAGAAGGCAGCGTGCTCTTTCTCCCCCCACGTGTACTCAACCCCCTTCCTCAGCAGGTCGGTCAACGGGGCAGTCAACTTCGCCATGTCGGGGACGAACCGGCGCACGTAGTTGACGAACCCCAGAAAACTCTGTAACTCGGTCAAGTTTGTCGGCGCGTGCCATGCTTGAATCGTCGCGATCTTCTTCGGGTCTATTTCCACTCCTTCAGCTGAAATAATGTGTCCCAAAAATTCCAGGCGGTCCTGTAAAAACTCACACTTAGAAGCTTTGGTCAGTAGGCGGTTCTCACTCAGTATTTTAAGAACTGCTTCGATGTCCTGTAAATGCTGTGCGCGGTCGAGGCTGTAAATCAGTATGTCGTCGAGGTATACGATGACGCACTTATCTAAAAGCGGGCGGAAAGCTTCGTTCGTTGTCATTTGAAAAGTGGCGGGGGCGTTGGTCAGTCCAAAAGGCATGACGGTGTATTCTAAGGATCCGTAGCGTGTTCGGAAAGCTGTCTTGGGGCAGTCGGGTGGGTTGACGCGAATCTGGTGGTAACCTCCTCTAAGGTCGATTTTCGAGAAAACCCGGGTTGTGCGCAGTTGGTCGATCAGTTCGTCAGCTCGCGGGATGGGGTAACGGGATTTAATGGTAACCGTGTTCAGTGCCCTGTAATCTATGCACATGCGAAAACCCCCGTCCTTTTTCGGCGTGAACAGTATCGGTGCTGCGAAGGGTGACGAACTCGGGCGAATGAACCCTTTTTCCAGCAGGTAATCCAGCTTGTCAGAATGAGAAGTGGTTGAACTAGGAAGATTGGGAGTACAAGTATGAAACCCTAGAAGTTGTACCCCCTAAGGCTAAACCCACAACAGCCTACAGAACACAAACATGTACAATGTTTGACACAGCTGCTTCCTTAGTTCGTCTAGTTCGGGTTGGGTCAGTCGGAACTGTCGCTGTACTGTCGGCTGTGCCCCCGGTTCTAGCTCTATCCTGTCATCGTGCGGTCGCTGAGGTGGCAGTCCCGTCGGCAGATCGTCCGGAAATATGTCACTGTACTGCTTCAAGAGTGCTGCCAGGTCATCCGGTACGTCGGCTAGCAGTTTCTGTAAACCCCCCCCTTTGTCTGCTGCCTCGGCTTCCCGAATGTCAACCGCGTACACGTCAGCTCCTGCCGCTACGGCGCGCTTCATTGTGATCACGTTGACACGCACCGACGAAGACTCAGGCGAGCCCCAGCGAGGTAAAGCAATATTGTTACCGTTCACTCGCACAGTGCAGTCACCCGTCGTCCAGTCGATTCGCGGATTGTGTCGTCGCTGCCAATCACAACCGAGTAAAATGTCGGTTCCGTCGAGGGTTGTCGCGAGCATTTCCTGGCTAAATGTGAAGTTACCCCCGCATCGAATCCGAACCTGGTCTACGCGTTCCCGTATCGCCAGTGGCGTGCCGTCAACCAATCTTGCATCGATCTCAGGCAAACATCTGTCCAGTGGTAGTTTCAGTTTCCGTGCTGTGGCAGTGTTGATGAGGCTGTGGCTGGCTCCCCCGTCTACAAAGATTTTAACTAAGTCTGTCCCGATTTTCCCACTAAGCAGTATGGGGCTGTCTACCGTAGT